TCAGGCATTAGTCCTCAAGGACTAGGTTTGAAGGCTATCTGGAGATGGGGACCACGTGGCATTGCCTGGGGTGAAGTGCCAGCCCTCCTCCCAGATAGACTCCTGGCACGGCTGCTCCGCGGGCCCACCAGATGGGTTGAGTCCTAGGATGAACACAGCCTAAATTTAGGTTTAAATTTAAACTGTGGAGAAGGAAAAAGAATTTCCCTTCTCCCTTAGAAGTGTAGCCTAGAAAGTTCTGTGGCCAAGATCCCCAGCGATAAAAGATGAACAATAGGAAAAACGGATATTTAAAAACAGGGATCCCTGGGAGCTACCCAGGAAAACTGAATAAAACTCCCAGAAATCACCCCAAACCCATCACCTTAAATACAATCTTCAGCTAAAAACAAAAGACAGCTGTGGGGGGTGGGTGTGGGGAGGCCAGTTTCAGGAAGTTACCCGGAAAAGCAAGGTAAACAAGGAGAAGGTTGTTATGCAGATTTAAGTCTGAGTCTTCCCCATGGATTAGGGCTTCTGGTGCTTGAGAGCGGTGCTTCTCTTCCGGGTAAGGTGAGGATGACCCTTAAACAAATGAGTTCCTTTGTAAATGTAAATGCTCCTTACAAAAGGCTAAATTCTACTCTGTTTTCAGAGATTCTCCTGCAGTTTCTCAGGAATTATCATCTCAAAATAAGTCTTAAGCCAAAGAAACAGATTTGGGGGTGGCCCCTCTACTACCCTTCAAAGCGTGACAACCTTCTCTCAACCTTTGCTACCACTCGCCAACTCACACAGGCTCACACAAATAGGCATTGACCTGTGGGGGAAAAAGTCTCTTCAAGATAAAAACGAAAACTACTGAGGTTGGAGGTAGTGGAGACCCCAGGTAAACCTGTGAGGGAGGAAGTGAGGCGGGCTGCCATCTTGGCCAGAGTTCATCAGCTCCCACTCCTCCCCTTCTCTCTTTGGGGACACAGTTCTGTCCCTAGCTTGCTGTGTCTATTCTTCAAAGGTACTGTCAGGATTTTGGCTAACTGAGGAAGCTTGAAAACTGCTAAGGACTGAATTGTGCCTCTGCCCACTCCCCACCCCCACCAACCGCCAACCCAACTTTATAAAATGAAGCCTGTAGGGGAGAAGAAATTTTCCTCCGCTCTCTTCTGTTCTGCAAAATGGAAGCCTTCGAATTAAGCTGACAAAGGACAGATTGACAGGAAAAAGAAAAAAAAAAGCTTTATTATTTGCAGGCATGTGGAGCTAACAAAAGGAATAGCTGGCTGGTTAAATGGTCCAAGTTTGAGGTTTCTATCCCTAATTTAGTAGGGGAAAGGGAGTGGGAAAGAAAAGGCTTTTATGGAAAGAACAAGTAGATTTCTTGAGGAGTGACAAATGGGTTTTTAAGAGAACAAATGGGAGATAAGAAAGTTTGTGATAATGTTTGTCTATACAGGAGTATTCTTTCCTTCTCCTTCAGGGGCACTGACCTCCCATGGAGAAGGGATTTGAGGTTTTCCCTTTGGGGAGTAAATTCACCCTGAAGAAGGAAGTTACTGCAATCTTATTTCATGGAACTTGCTGCTTTTCAGTCAGATAAGGGAAGATCTGAGAAGGCTTCTTTCTGCATTTGTTGATTCCCAGTGGCTTTTCATTTAATATAATTCTTATGCCAAAGTGGCATATTTTGGGATGGCACATCCTAGAAGCCCTCCTCCCCTCCCCACCCCCCTGCCCCCAATGTGACTGTATTTGGAAATAGGGCTTGTAAGGAGGTAATTAAAGTTAAATGAGGTCTTCAGGGTGTGGCCCTAATCCAGTAGGGTTACTGTCCTGATAAAAGGAGGAGAAGAACTTCTCCTTGCCCTCCACCCCACCTCCCCCACCAGCTCACAATGAAATCCTTTGAGCACAAAGCAAGATGGTGGCTGCCTGTGGCCGGGAGGGAAAGCTCTCATCCATCAGACACCAATCCCGTGGACACCTTGATCATGGATTTCCAGGCTACGAAACAAAAAATAAATTTTTGTTTAAGCCCCTCCCCTATCTATGATATTTTGTTATAGTGGTTCAAGCAGGTGAAGACAAAGACTAAACTAGTCTTCAAGAACCAAAAAGCAAAGTTTAAAAAACGGCAGCATTGTAGGGTGTGATGTTAGGCATTCTACAAACATACAAGGGCCGCCCTGGTGAGGTACCTCGATTTTTGTCAGGAGTTGAAAAAACTAGGAGGAACTGGGAAATCCTACGTGGGTTTCTAAAAGATAGGAGTTGCATTTCTTGAAGCCCTTCCCTCTGCTGACTTCCTTTCTGTCAGAAACCACCTGGGCCCTGTTCAAAGCAGAGCGTTACCTGCTGATGGATCCAAATCTCGGACTCCAGCCTGGGAGCCCCCGGCTCATTCCCCTTTCACAGGGCCTGATAGAGGGGAGAGCTGCCAGAGGAACCTAATCAGATGCATGCTATCATCTGGAAATGATTAATCCTAAGGACAGATAGAAGCCATGTTGATAGCATTGATTGGTTCCTTATTCCTGACTTGGGCCTGCTTCATTGTTTAAGATTCCACTCTAATTTGTTGGGATTTTCTCTTCGGCATTGTAAAAAGCAAACTTATTTTGCTGGATGAGAACAGAACCTTTTAAACCGGGCTTTGAAGTTTGCAGCTTTGTAACGTGTCAGCCATCTGAAAGCCTCTGCTCTCTTGCCAGCTCGAACCAACCCACAGCCACGATTAGCATATCAAAGAGCAGGGGGGTGTCCTGGTGGGGGCTGCCGGAGTGGCAGTGGGCCCACGTTTAGGATGTGAAAAGATACAGGGCCTCTCTACACGCGACCTGCTGCCGGGGTGGCTACTCATTTCACCTTTAATTCCATTTCCTGTCTTCTTCCGGCTGAGCACTTTTGACAATTAAGAACACACACACACACACACACACACACACACACACACACACCCCTTTCCCTCTCAAAGAACAAAAGGAATTAGAAATGGAAAAAAAAAAAAAGAAAAAGAAAAAGGAAGGTTGGTGTTTTAGGGGGTGTAAAACCCTTTCTAAAATCCAAACAACTCCCACAGACAAATACGCCAACTCTTTAATAGTTATTCTAGTGCCTTCGTTTTAACTAATTGCTGGGTTAGCAAAGAAACTTCAGAAAGGTTGGCGGAAGCAATTTAAAGTACAATTTTTACCGTTGCCCTGAGGTGACATCCGAAATAATTGTAACCCTTAATAGCCAGGCCGAGCGGGGTGGTGGATGGCCTGGTTACTTGATGCTAACGAGAGACTCTGGCACCGCTGAGAAGATCGTCCCGGGCAGAGCCTGGCCTCTGGGGCCTGACCAGCAGCTGTAATAAGTCTTGGGGGGCCCCCAGGCAGGCAGGCAGAAATGGGTGACCCTGAATACACACGGAGAGAGAGGAGAGAAAATAGAAACTAAAGACTTCCAAGATAATATTCAGGGGAATAAACAAAAGGCGACAGGAATGACAGGAGAGATAAGGGAAAGATGCCCATAATGAACTGATTTTGAAAGAAAATCATCTGAGTGCTTTTCATGTGAAAAGTATACACAAATGGGTACCATGAGCGAAGGTGGTCAAAAGATATGAACTTCGAACTTCCAGTTATAAGAGAAGAGGTCCTGGGGACCGTCCTGGGCAGTGTGGTGACTCTACTTAATGATACTGAATTGTATATGTTGCTTAAGGGAGTAAATCTTAAAAGTTGTCATCACAAGAAAAGAAAATTGTAGCTATGTGTGGTGATGGATGCTAGTTAGGCTCGTGGTAATCATTTTGCCTTACCCACATGTATGAAATCATTATGCTATAATATTGTCATGCGCGTAACCTAACATACAACCTAGTTATGTCAGGCGTATAACATACAAGAGTATTATATGTTATGTCAATTGTATGCCATATGCCAATTTTATCTCAATGAAAAAAAAGTAACAGAAAAAAAGTAGGTATCATAGAACTGTCTTGCTTTTGGGGAGAATCTAAATTGAATGAATTTTATTTTATTTTTTTGAGATCCCTAAAATATGTAAGGGAGGATATAGTAATATCCTAATTGTTTCTTCAAATTTCAACTGTTCCTTGAGTTAAAAAACAAATCAGGAAGGAAATTCATCAAAGTATTAATAGTAGATATGCTTGGGTAGATTGGAGAAGGTTTTATTTATTTATTTTTAAAAAGATTTGTATGTTTAAGGGGCGCTGGGTGGCTCAGTTGGTTCAGCGTCTGCCTTTGGCTCAGGTCATGATCCCAGGGTCCTAATATTAAGCCCCCATCGGGCTCCCAGCTCAGTGAGGAGCCTGCTTCTCCCTCTGGCCCTCCCCTTGCTTATGCTCTCATGCTCTCTCTGTCTCAAATAAATAAAATCTTTTTAAAAAATTTCATGTCTAAGAAATCTCTACACCCCAAGTGAGGCTTGAACTCACAACCCCAAGGTCAAGAATCCCATGCTCTACTGACTGAGCTAGCCGGGTAACCCTGTGTTATTTTGCTTTTATACTTTTTTTTTGTATTTTTCAAATTTTCAACAATGGGTGTGTACTAATTTTACATAAATAAATATCATGGACTCCATTTGAAATTGGAGGAATGGCTGTCTTCCCACTGGTATGCAAGTTATGGACACAACAGAATTTAAACTAGAAAGGAATTTGAATGTTTAATTCTCCCTGTCTGCTTAAATGGGAGGGATCTTAGAAACAGGGAGGTGAAATCCAAGGTCATGTAGCTGGTTCCCAAAAGATCAGAATCTAGAGCAGAGCTGTTCAGTTCACCAGACACATGTGGCTACTGAGCACTTGAAATGGGGCTAGTCCTAATTGGGATGTGTTCTAAGTGTGAAATATACTTGGATTTTGAAAAATCTTTTTTTGACATGCATGAAAAAATAGAAAATATCTCAATAATTAAATTCACTACATGCAGAAATGATGAATTTTGGACATAACAGGCTAAAATTAATCTGTTTCTTTTTATTTATTTTAGTGTGGCTACCAGGAATTTAAAAATTACATATATGGTTCCCGGTACAGATTCCTATTGGACAACACTGAGGGAGAATACAAGTCTTGATTCTCAACCTAGTGTTCTCTACATTCTATTTTGAAAGGGAGAATGTCAAAAGGTAAGGACAAATTTACTTCTCCTTTTCTGGAATTAGGTAGTGAGACATTACTCAAAGTGACAATATTATTACTGATTTTATAAATTCTTGTTTTGTTGAAGATATATAGTCTGAATCTTCCGTAGATAATGGAGGATTGCTTATTGCATAATTGCACATGGATATTCATGCCTGAGGTGTTTCCTTGGAGTTATTTTTTGCTGTTATGCATCATTACCACTATGGGTCAAGTTGTTCTTGCCTCCTCCTCAAGAAGATTCAGAAAAAGAAAATAAATATGCATTCAAAAACCAAACTTCAAGAATGGAAGGAAGTTAATTTTACATAATGGTTTACGACTCCTTTTTTTTTTAAGAGAGAAAGAGAGGGAGAGAGAGAGTGTGCACGGGGGTGGGGGGTGGGCAGAGAGAATCTTTTTTTTTTATTAAGATTTTATTTATTTACTTGAGATAGAGAGAGAGAGAGAAGAGAGAGAGAGAGAGAGAGAGAGAGAGAGAGCATGTGCACAAGCGGGGCAGGGAGGAGCAGAGGAAGAGGGAGAAGCAGGAAGCCCAATGTGGGGCTGGATCCCAGGACCCTGAGATCATGACCTGAGCTGAAGGCAGATGTTTAGCCAACTGAGCCACCCAGGTTTCCTGAGAGAGAGAATTTTAAGCATAATCCACCCCCAGTGCAGAGCCTGATGCAAGGGCTTAATCTCACAACTCTAAGATCATGACCTGAACCAAAATCAAGAGTAGGATGCTCAACCGAGTCACCCAGGTGCCTTTGGTTTACAACTCTTTGTGCAGTTATGTGAACATTTTCTCAATCCATTGACAGACCTGTTGTCTCGCCTAATCTTCTGTCACTCCTGGTCCCCCTCGTCCCAAAGTATGCCACCCCACAATATTGCTACTTTGACATAAAGATTGTTTAGAGCAGGAGGTGATAAACTCTGCCCGCCCCCTTCCTGCCTAAAAGCTGGATATAAATTTTGCTTTGTAAACGTAAAACACATTTTCATTTGTACAAGTGTCCTGCCCCACATTTGCAAGAGGACAATGGTTCTCAGTCACTAGAGAAGATTCTCATCATTGGAGAAGGCACTGCTTGAGTCTGCATAACAGACCTTACTGAATATAAATAACTCTCATCTTCCAGTAGTTTCTGCTATATATTTACCTTCCCACAATTTACCACCCCTAAAAGTCCAATTTCCCCACACTTCTCTTGTCTAATTACTTCCCCACAATTTATTGTCCTTTGTTAAAAATAGTGTCTGTCTAGGACTAACAGCTCCTTTGGAGTTTCCATTTCTTTTCTGTGGGGCCTCTTGTGTGTATCTAAAATAAACCTTTTCTTCTGTGAATCTGTCTTTTGTCAGTTTAATTTTCAGGTTCCAGGCACAGAACCTAAGAGGGTAGAGAAAGTTTTTCCTTTCTTACACATAGTACTAGACATATGAGCTTTTTTTTTTTTTTTTCCTAAATCAGTTGACAGTGAGGCTGATTAAATATAAAATATTCATTGGATTTTTGGGGAAAATTCAGTACAGATGTTCTTTTAAACATATATATTTAACTGTATCCCATAAATTATATTTCCAATAGAAGTTATTTTGGCATATTGAATTAGATATACTTTTAAGAAACCAAGAATTTATAGACACAGCCGCAGTGAACAGATTGCTGTGCCACCCTGACACGAAGAAGGCATGTTTCACATCACACCCAAAGATTCAAGAAGCTAAGGAGTGTGATTCTTGTGCATACACTAATGTGCTAGGTCCTATGAGGGGAGAGAGGGTAAGAGGACAGATGATGATGGCCTTGACCATCAGGGAGCTGTCATGGTTAGGAAACAAGATTAAATCTCAATCTGCATTAAAAAGCAGTGTAACTTGGGATGCTGTGATGGCTCAGTCAGTAGAGCATGCAACTCTTGATCTCAGGGCTGCAAGTTCAAGCCCCATATCGGGTGTGGAACTTACTTTACAAAATTATTTAAAAAAAGAATAAATGAATGAAAGGAAACAGTATAACTTAGCACTGAATAAGAGCCTACCTGGGTAGGCTCCAGATACCAGGACTGTTAGGGAAAGGAAAACTCAGAGCAAGATCAGAGGAAGGTGAAGAATAGCCAGGAGGAGCTCAGGTCTGAGCAGAGAGGGACTTCTCAGGCAGTATGGGGAGAGGCACAGAGATAAGAATTGATAAATTGTATGAGCCCTAAAAGAAGGTTAATAGAAGACAAGATCACAAAAGCAAGTACCTCATCTCTTGTTTACTGCTGTACCCCACATGCCTAGAACAGTGCCTGGCACATTGGAGGCATCTACTATTACTTGAAGGAATGAATGAACACATTTATTGAACCTCTCCTGAGTGCCAGGCATTTTTTACTTTTGTCATTTAATTTTCTCAAAGATTAAATGAAGTGACCATTTTTTTTCTATGTGGCAAAAAATACATAACATAAAATTTACCCTTTTGGCCATTTCTAAATACACATTTCAGTCATGTTGAGTGTATTCACGTTGTTGTGAAACAGATCTCCAGAACTTTTTCTTCTTGCAAAATGTTTTCCTCCTCTCTCCTCCCAGTCCCTGGCAACTACCACTTTATTTTCCAACTCTATGAATTTGACTATTCTAGGGACCTCATGAAAGTAGAATCATATACTATTTGTCCTTTGGTGCCTGCCTTGTTTCTCTTAGTGTAATGTCCAGTTGTAGCATGTGACAGGATTGCCTTCCTTTTTAAGGCTGAGTAATATTCCATTATACTGACATATCACATTTTGCTTATCTGCTCATCCTTTGATGGACCCCCTTGAGTGCTCCCACCTCTTAGCTATTGGGAATTGTGCTGCTATGATTATGGGTGTACGAATATCTCCTCAGGACCTGCTTTCAATTCATTTGAGTCTATGTCCAGAAGTGGAATTATTGGATTAGGTATGCATTTTTCTCCTTACTATATGAATGATGACACAGAGGCCCTGGGATCTCCTGAAACTTGCCCCTGGTCCCATGAGCAGAAGGCACAGAACAAGGTCTGACTCTAGACTCTAGCCTGTGTTCATTTTCATCCCATTCTGAGGATCAGCTTTACCTGAGTAATTGAAGAATACACCCAACTTTAAGTTGGGAAATTGGGGATTACATTTATGCCTACTCTTGGGAGCTGCTGACTTTGTGGTTTACATAATTGGAAATGGAAGATGGCTCAGAGCTCTGTTCTTTTTTTTTTTTTTTTTTTTTTTTTCAGAGCTCTGTTCTATCCAAAGCTCAAGTTACACAAGTGGTTGACAACAATAAATTGGCTGAATTCTTTTCTGGACAGCAGATTCCAACATTGTTCTCTATTTGTTGCCATTTTGCAATGATTAAATGCTAACAGAAGTCCTGGGTGGATTGTTTTAGAATTAGCTGACCAAGGACCTACTTATAATTCCTTAACCTTGAGCACATCAGTATTCAAAGGCAATTTTAACCCGAGCTGTTTGACTATGAAATTGTAATGTATGCCAGTCACCATATTGCCAAATAGTTTTAAATCCATATTAAGATTTTAAATGGAATTTAGTGAGTCTGATTTTGTAGTGGTTCGAAGATCAAGATTTGTGGGGAGATAAGAAATTATTTCTTTATTTCCTTTCTAACCTTACTGTCTTTCATTATTATTATTTTTTTAAGAATTATTTACTTATTAAAAAAAAAGAATTATTTACGTATTTTAGAGAGAATGAGAGCAAGAGCATGAACAGTAGGAAGGGACAGAAGGAGAGGGAGAGAAATCCCAGGCACAGTCCCAGCTGAGCATGGAGCCTGGTGCAGGGCTCGATCTCACAACTCTGAGATCATGAACTGAGCCAAAACCAAAAGGCAGATGCTCAACCAACTGAGCCACCCAGATGCCCCTGTCATTTATTCTTGATCATCAGTTGAAGTGACACTTGGGATTTGTGTGGTGTGGATGGTGGGGATAGAGATGCTCTGTATGCATGGAAGGAGAAGAAATAGTAACAGGGTGGGGGGAAGGACAGGGAAGACGAAGGAGGGAAGATTAGGATGATCTTATGTCTGGATGGATACTGAGGGCCATTTAGGCCCTTTGTTTCGTTAAGGGGGAGGTCCAAATGCAGAGAAGTTGGGTGGTTAGCCCTGCTGTGTGGTGGGTAACGGTTCTGCTGGAACTCCTGTAAGTCACATCACCGTAATTCCAGGGCTCTCCAGACTTCCATATACCTATTTGTACCTGCTCAAAAGCTATTTTGGGGCCCAGGCAGGGAAAGAAGGGTACGCTCCAACTGGGTCATTTAAGGAGAGTTTTGTGAAGAAATTGCAGGACAATATGAAGGGGAAAGGTTAGGGACAGTGCAGTATGCCAGGATACATAACCTGTGAGTCGCCTCTATGATCCCTGGGTTGGAAAGAGTGGGATACAGGAGTAGCTGCCGGAACCTGGACAGCGACAACTCTAGGCAGAGGGCTGCCGGATAGGAGCCACGAAAGTTGGTGATTAGGTGGTGGCCTATATCCGTGACTACTATTTCTGGAGAAACAATGGTCCACATTGCAACCTGGCCACTTTTCCTGGGCAATTATACACCTTAATTTTAATGGGGTTCATTCTCATCAGCACAATGAATTATGGTAGATCCTGTAGAATTTCATTTCAATTGGGCACTGAAACCATACCTGAGGGGACACCTGGGTGGCTCAGTTGGTTAAGCATCTGCTTTCAGCTCAAGTTGTGATCCCAGATCCTGGGATTGAGCTCCAGTTTGGGCTCCCTGCTCAGCGGGGAGTCTGCTTCTCCCTCTGTCCCTTGCCACTCTGCTCATGCTCTCTCTCAAATAAATAAAACAAAAAATTAACAACAACAACAAAAAGAAACAATAACATGAGACTGGGTGTGACCCAGGTTGGCAAAAAGGCTTTATGCACAGAGCCATGCATTCCTTTGGAGGGGCACATAGGGGCTAGATGTGTTGGGGTAGTCTCCTGAATAGTCTCTTCTGAACCCTGGTATGGGAGGAGATTTGACTTTCACCATTAAATGCTGTTCTTTATATCAGTTTCATTAATTTATGCAGCAGATAAATTATATTCTTTATTATTCAGCAATCCATAGTCTTTAAAAAGTTTTTTTATTTATTATTTTTTAAAGATTATTTATTTATTATTTATTTACTTATCCATAGAGGCACACAGAGAGAATGAGAGGCAGAGACACAGGCAGAGGGAGTAGCAGGCTCCATGCAGAGAGCCTGACGCGGGACTCGATCCAGGGTCTCCAGGATCACACCCTGGGCTGCAGGCAGTGCTAAACTGCTGCACCACCGGGGCTGCCCTAAAGATTTTTTTTTAAAGATTTTATTTATTTATTCATGAGAAACAGAAAGAGAGGTAGAGACACAGGCAGAGGTAGAAGCAGGCTCCCTGGGGGGCGCCCGATGAGGGGGTCAATCCCAGGACCCTGGGATCACAATCTGAGCCAAAGGCAGATGCTCAACCACTGAGGCACCCAGATGTGCTAGCAATCTAGGGTCTTAATACAGTAGATAATTAGGGAGTCTATTTTCTGTCATTCCTATGATTTTATTGTATGGGGGCTAAATAAAAGTGAATGGACAAACATAGTGTCTTTCTTTCTTAATTGGTAGGCCAAAGTCTATACAGGCTCTGAGAAGTATGAGTTTCTGAAGTTAGATTATGTCAGTTTGAGTCCTAGATCTCCATTTGTCTAGCCATTGGGCTTTAGGCAAGCTACCTTCAGGTTCAATTCTCTCACATGTAAGATTGAGTAAAGGTGTATCAGTTAGGACGAGGTTCAAGAATACAAACCAGAACATCCCAAATAATAGTGGCATAGTCACCTATGAGTTTATTTTTCTCTTGTATAAAATAAATCTGGTGGTAGACTGGCATAGGCTGGGATAGTAACTCAAAGATTTTATCAGAGACCTAGGTTTCTTTCATCTTCATCCTCTACCATCTTTAGTTTGCATTTCCCATATATAGATGACAAGATGGCAGCTGGTGCTCCAGCCATCTCACCCAAACTCCTAATATAGGGAGAAATAGAAAAGGACAAAGGGGGGGCAGCCCCGGTGGCTTAGCGGTTTAGCGCCGCCTGCAGCCCAGGGCGTGATCCTGGAGATCCTCGATCGAGTCCCACGTCAGGCTCTCTGTATGATCTCTGCCTGTGCCTCTGCCTCTCTCTCTATTAAAAAAAAAAAAAAAAAAAAAAAAAAAAGAAAAGGACAAAGGGGCACATACAATCATCCTGTCCCCCTTTCTGCAGACTTGACTCACCCACTCCCATTTTTTTATCCCATTGGCCACTGCAAGGTAAGCTGGTAAATTAGTGCTTTCACTGGGCACAGTGAAGTTTCATATAACATAGGGGATTCTTGGGGATCCCTGGGTGGCTCAGCGGTTTAGTGCCTGCCTTTGGCCCAGGGTGTGATACTGGAGACCCAGGATTGAGTCCCATGTCGGGCTCCCTGCATGGAGCCTTCTTCTCCCTCTTCCTGTGTGTGTGTCTCTCTCTCTTTCTCTGTGTCTCTCATGAATAAATAAATAAAGTCTTAAAAAAACAAAAAACAAACAAACAAAAAAAAACCAGGGGCTTCTTCTAAGGAAGAAAGGGAGATGGATGTTGGGTAGGCAACTTTCAGACTGCCAGAGCAGGTGGCGATAGACTTTTTCAACCTTCATGAAGTTGAGATGATAAATCCACAGAAAAGTGTTTAGCAAACTGGCTGACACTTGGGAAGCACTCATTTCCCACAATATGTAATTATAATCGAATTCTAAAGCAACGGGATTGCTCTGAAAGTAATCAAATTAAACAGAACAACATGTATATGCTTTTACCTTCAAAAGTAGTCACCTTGGAAGGCAACATAACATGTCCATTAATTTTATAGTCAGAAATCAGTTCAGAGACATTTTACTATTTATACAAAAACAATAGCGTTGCTGGGCACATCTCACCACCATCAGCTTCATCATCCATTATATTCAATAAAATTAGATTTGAATGGCATTCAAGGGACAACAGTTGTTGATGGGTAAGAGTATTTATTTTTAAAATGTTCAGTAGGCTTTATAGGGAATTCTGGTTCAGTTATCTCCTATTGCCAGAAGCCAGACTTGCACAGTTTCCACACTAATCGGAGATATTTATATGAACATACCTGAGGAAAGTATATGAAAAACGTATTTGAACTAACCATGAAGATGAGTGCAGTCAAAAGTGCTTAATAGGGGCACCTGGGTGGCTCAGTTGGGTAAGTGTCTGCCTTTGGCTCAGGTCACCGTCCCAGGGTCCTGGGATCAAGTTCCGCATAGGGCTCACTGCTCAGCCAGAGGTCTCCCTGTCCTTCTGCACCTCCTCCTGCTCATGCTTTCTCTCTCTAACACTCCCAAATAAATAAAATCTTTTAAAAAATAAAAAAAATAAAGTACTTAATAGGCTTCGTATACTAACCTTTGTTGGGATATTCATGGTGATTTATGCTTATATCTGAAATTGGACAGTGATCCATTGGAATTATACAGATATTCTCATTCCCTTATTGAAGGGGCTGGAAGTTTGTATAGGAGAAATGCATCTCTGTATCTTTATAAACATGTGAGACTCATTTACATACTTGATCATGCAATGATTTTCATAAAGTAGGCCTATTTTATATATTGCATTTAAGACCAAAAACTTGTCATGATGTGAGTTCTGGTCTTTTGTTGGTCAACTTGAGGATAGGTGTTATATTACACAGTCTACCCTGTCGTATTGTCTATTCTGACATCATTACCTGTAAAATCTAGAGGTGACCTCAGCTATCTCCTGGCCCCATTTAAAATTTTATAGGTGAGGCTGCTGAGGCTCAGAATTTAAATGACTTGCTTGAGATCTCTTAGCTAATATATGACAGAGCAGGTACGAGAACTCAGCTTGTCCAGGTCCTGATGCCAGGCCTCTCTCCTTATACCAGATTCCTTCTTACTCACTTCAGGGTTGACATGGTTCTGTATGTTTTCTCCACCTAGGACAGAGGAGAGGAAAACACTGGGTCTGAGAATTGTAAATCTTGGCTTCTCAAGTGTAGTGAGACAATGATTACAACTTCTCTGCCAATATCTATTCTTCTCTTCCTTCCACAACTCCCAAGTTTTTGCTGCCTGATGAGACTACATATCCCAGCCCCCCTTGCAGCATGGTACAGGCAAGTGGCTGTTCTGGCCAATGGGGTGCGAGAGAAGGTGAGAGGGTACAACTTTGATATTGTGCCCTGTTCTCCATTCCTTTCCCACCAGTTGGGAAGATGACCCTGAAGTAGACACCTCCCATCACAAGATAGAAGCCACATATTGAGAATAGCAGAGCTGCCCTAACTATCTCTAGACTATTTTTTCCCCCAAAGATTTTATTTATTTATTTATTTATTTATTTATTTATTTATTCATTCATTCATTCATTCATTCATGAGAGACACACAGAGAGAGAGGCAGAGACACAGGCAGAGGGAGAAGCAGGCTCCATGCAGGGAGCCCGATGTGGGACTCAATCCCAGGTCTTCAGGATCACGCCCTGGGCTGAAGGCAGCGCTAAACTGCTGAGCCACCCGGGCTGCCCTATACTATTACTACATGAGACAAAAACAAAAATTCTGTCTTTGTTTATACCACTGTGTGTGGGGTTCCCTTGTTATAGCAACGGTGACTATACCCTAACTAGCACCCCTGGTGTCAATCACATCGTTCTGTGATACAGTGGGAAGCAAAGTAAGTTGCAATTCACTGAGGCCATTTTTGCTTAGGCGCAGATTTTAAACTTACGTCCTTATTTTATGTCAGATTAAGCATTCGTGCTACCAAAGTGGTTCACTACAAGGAGCATTGATGGGGGAGCTGGATCCAGGCTTCTCACATTACCTTGCTGCTAACTCCCAAAGCACCTCCATGGCATGCTTCCTTACAGAATGGAGATACGTTGTTCAGTTACCTCCCAGAAAAAAATGGTTGTGAAGCATTTGGCAAATGCATCTTTCTGCCTGCAATGCTGAACAAATACAGTAGTAGCTTTCTTGGCACCTCCTGAATCTCTAAGGATTTATAGATTGGCCTTTTTACTTGAAGGGGGCTCGACTTTGGCATGACTCACCTGAGCTGATGAACTCTCTCTGTCTTAACCTTTAGGATTTAGTGCAAGTATGATCCTTTCCTCTATCTTTGTTAACAGCACCATGATGAGGAAGACATTTGGGCCATGGACAGGGAACCTGGAGGACCCCAGCTGACCATTTTCTCTCTCTCTTGTTTTTTTCTTCCAGAAGTGGTCTTTGTGTCCATGTTCTGGTGATTGTCTGAACCTAGAAGTGTTAAGTGAAGGAGACTTGCTTCTGAAACCTTTCTGATGTGACCAACATCACATTTGTAAGAATCACCAAGTTGGAATCACGTTTTTGGCACTAATTCCCAGGTTAAGTCTCTGTGTCGTACATATGATATCTCATGATGACGGCTGGACCAGACCCCTGATACTTTGCCTTGAAGACCTTTACTTAAGTAAGTGACTCCTGACCCTTTTATTTCAGCACTTTCTGAACTTTGCCAGAAAGTGTTTGCTTATGCCAGGCAGTCCTTAACATTTCCCTCTGGGCAAACTTGGGTCTTTGGTTCAGTTACTTTTGACCAATTAATCCTTCTTTTATCCTAAGCATCTCTATAAAGGAGAGACCAGGAACACTTTCAAGAGCAGACCCTTTTTTCTTTTTTTTTTTTTTTTAATTTTTTTATTTATTTATGATAGTCACAGAGAGAGAGGCAGAGACACAGGCAGAGGCAGAAGCAGGCTCCATGCACCGGGAGCCCGACGTGGGATTCGATCCCGGGTCTCCAGGATCGCGCCCTGGGCCAAAGGCAGAGGCCAAACCGCTGCGCCACCCAGGGATCCCCAGACCCTTTTTTCAAAGGAGCATAAATTGTTAGAGCATGTAACAGTATGTGAGAACACAGTCCAAGCACATTTTTAACACGAACTACAACAACTGATGTCAGAACAGTGAGTGGACAGCATTGTTGCCATAATAGCCCTGCATGGAAATGATTGGTTGTTATCAAAACCCGCTTACCATGTTGGAATACGTTTGGGTGAAATGAACAAGGCTGTTATTTTTCACTGTCTGTACGGGGCTCATCACTGTATCATGTTCTCTGTGATGTGGATAGAAGGGAAGAAAGTAATGATGTAGGCTGGGAGAGGAAAGAGCGGAAAGGTCTGGATTCATGGCTGCTATATGCTACAAATGTATCATCAAAAAAAGATTTATTTACTTGAGAGAGAGAGAGAGAGAGAGAGAGAGAGCAAGTTGGGGGAAGGGTTGAGGGAGAGGGACAGAGACTTTCAAAGAATGACATGGGACTTGATCTCACCACCCTGAGATCATGACTTGAGCTGAAACTAAGAGTCAGATACTTAACTCACTGAGCTACAAGTGCCCTAGTTGTATTATTTAACCTCATGAAGATTGTGTCACTTAATTTTCTCTGTAGCCCTGCATGGTAGGTAGCATCCCAAATGTATGGAGGAGGAAGTTGAGATTCAGAGAGGCTAAGTAACATTCAGTTAAAAGGTGTTGGAGAGGTGTTGGTGTTGGAGCCTGGCTGGCTCAGTTGGTAGAGCGTGTGACTCTTGATCATGGGATTATGAGTTCAAACCCCATGTTGGACATAAAAGCTTACTTTAAAAAAAATGTTGGAGAGAAAATCTGAATCTATATTCGCCTGACTCCAAAATCCTTACTCTTGCCATGATACCATATTTGCTTCCTGGTGAATAGAAAGTGTGCCAGAGGGAGGAAAAAAAAAAAAAAAAACAACCCAGATAGCAAAGTCTGTTATCCCAGCCAGTTTAAACAGATGCCAACTTGGAACACACTCAATTTAGGAAAAGTAGAGAGAATGAGGAGCTACCTTGCAGCATCCTTGGAGAAAACCAGATGTAGGAATAAGAAGTATAGCAAGAATGCTTGCATTAGAGAAAGGAGTCAATTACACAGGGTATGTGATGTAAACTTGGAAAAAACAGGAAAGCTACAGCTGAATATTTAGATTCACAAAGTAACAAGGTTTACTATTTTTTAAAAATAGTAAAGATTGGGACCCCTGGGTGGCTCAGGGGTTGAGCGTCTGCCTTCAGCTCAGGTCATGATCCTGGGGTCCTGGGATTGAGTCCCACATTGGGCTCCCTGCATGGAGCCTGCTTCTCCCTCTGCCTGTGTCTCTGCCTCTCTCTCTCTCTCTCTCTCTCTCTCTCTCTCTCTCTGTGTGTGTCTCATGAATAAATAAATAAAATCTTTTAAAAAATAGTAAAGATTTTATTTATTTGAGAGAAAGAGAGAGAGAGATTGTGCTTACCAGTGGGAGGAGGGGCAGAAGGAGAGGGAGAAGCAGACTCCCTGCTGAGCAGGGAGCCCAATGTGGGGCTTGATCCCAGGACCCTGAGATCATGACCTGAGCTGAAGGCAGACACTTAACCGACTGATCCACCGAGACACCCCCAAGATTTACTTTTATTAAAAAGTCACTAATGATTTAGTGGGTTGAGACCCTTTGGAACCTTGGTGGGACATGAATGTTTGCATTTGAGAAGGGTATTAATCTTTGGGAACCAAGAGACAAAATCTTAATACAGCTCTCCAAGATTTTGACCCTTGGTATATATACTCCATCTCTCAGTTATTCGCTCAAACACTAGTCTAGGTAATCCTGTGAAAAGATTTTGCAGGTATAACTAACGTCCCACATCAGCTGACTTTAAGATAGGGAGGTTTCCAGGGGGACTGACCTAATTATACAAGTCCTTTTAAAGCAGACTTTTCTCTGTCTGGTTGTAGAAGAGGAAGAAACAAACATCTCTGTTGTGAACTGCCCGTGGGGGTCGATGCTGGCCAACAGGAGCCACATGGCAAGGAATTGTGAGACAGCCTCTAGCTCCTGACAGTGGTCCTGGCTTGACAGCGGGGTGGAAAATGAAGACCTTAGGCCTACACTCACAAGTAAATGAATTACTGCTAATAATCTGTGAGCTTGGAAGAGAACCAAGCCCCGGATGAGTACACAGCCCTAGCTGACACCTTGATTTTGGTCCTGTGAGACCCTGAGTAGAGGATATAGTTATTCCGTGTCCAGACTTCTGACCTCTAGAAATAATGAGATAATAAGTAGATGCTGTTTTAAGCCAGAAAATTGTGGTGGCTTGTTATGCAGCAACAGAAAACACACACATTCCATTTTGCTGGTTCCCTGTAGAAGCCATAAAGAAGCTATGGCAAGTCTTTTGCTCTATGAGCAAATTGATGCACAAATAAGCTTAAATACCTTGCTCAAGTTCGTTTAACTCATTGATCATAGAGCTGGGAGTAGACTGGTTCTTTGGGATCTGATAGTAAATAAAGAACTTTTAGAGCAGCCTGGGTGGCTCAGCGGTTTGGCGCCTGCCTTTGGCCCAGGGCATGATCCTGGGGACCCGGGTTCGAGTCCCACCTCGGGCTCCCTGCATGGAGCCTGCTTCTCCCTCTGCCTGGGTCTCTGCCTCTCTCTCTCTCTGTGTCTCTCATGAATAAATAAATAAAATCTTTAAAAAAAAAAAAAAACAACAGAACTTTTAGCTCGACCCTTGCTTGCACATCCTGACATGCTCATGCATGCTCTCATTACCAGGGCGATGCATTTGATCATGTTTTGGTTCAATGAAACAAGTAGTAATAAGGGGAAGAATGTGGCAGGGGAAGAAGTCAGGAGAGGGGCGATAGGGATCCCATGCACCTCTTCCTGTGATTCCTAGACTCTGCGTGAGCACAGGCTCTTAGGTATATACCTGTGGAGAGAGCCTACTTTAACCTCTTGTCCACATCTTGGGTCTAGTCTATAGTATCTTCTGATGTAAGGGCCTATTGTCTTTATCATTTGTTTTTATTATTTTATTTTATCTTTTTTAAGATTTTATTTATTTATTCATGAGAAACAGAGGGGGCGGGGAGCAGAGACAAAAGCAGAGGGAGAAGCAGGCTCCATACAGGGAGCCTGATGTGGGACTTGATCCTGGGACTCCAGGATCATACCCCAGGCTGAAGGCGGCTCTAAACCGCTGAGCCACCCAGGGATCCCTATCATTTTTTTTTTAAATGAAAGACTTATGGCTAACCATTTATTATATTTGTGTGTGTGCCTGTGCATATGGGTATATATCAAATTCTCCAGTGGTTTCCTGGGAAGCCCTTGAAAATCTGTTGCTGCTTCAGATGGGATGAGAGGAAGAGGAGGGCTCATGTCTCCGTTTTCCTTTCTTCGTCTTAGCTGTGTTCATGGCTGTCCTGAATAAAGACTATGTTCCAACTTCCTTGTTGTCAGGTACAGTCATGTGACCAAGTTCTGATCAATGGAATTTGGGGGAGAAATGACCTGTGCTGTCCCAGGCAGCATTGTTAATACAGGGGAATGTTGTATCCTCCTCTTGGTTTGCCCCGCCTCCCCCCGCACTTCCTTCAGCTGGAATTGAGATGTAGCGGTGCTCCACTCTGGACCAGATGGCCGACTACAACATCCAAGAGATGGTGGAGCAACAAATCAGAAGGACTTTCGTCATCGAGCCAGTAGCTGCCAGACAGCTTTGGATGGCTCAAGCCTGGACTGTTATGGGAGAAAGAAGAAAATTCTTACCTGTTTGAGCCACTCTGACTTTAGATCTTTGTTACATCAGCCACACTCAGTACCTAAGTCCTCACTAATGCATTTGCTTACCAAAGCATCTGGGAACAGTATGTGCATTATTCAAATGTAACAATCCGTGTAAGAGCTTGTACAAATGTAGCTTTACCTGTTACTGTCAGTGATTTGGATGATGACTTGCTGCTTTGTTCTCTTCCACTTTTCTCTGACTTATTCCTCCTTTTAAAGAACCTAGCTCCAGCGTTACCAACTTTGGTCTTTCTGGGTCGTTCAATGTCCTCCCTTGTGTGGTCTTGAGACCCCTTGCGCATGGCTCTGCAGTGGTACCCGGCCTCCTGTGGTAAGATTTCTCCCATCTTGGGTCTACCTGCCTTGGATGGAAATGGCCTGGGTCCCACAGGACTGTGGACTCCCTTAGGGCAGGGCCGACTCCTGTGCAACCAGAGAGCCTGCTGCATATTAAGTCCACGACACATATTTGTGTTAAGTGATCATACATATGAATGAAAGAAGACATGGAGGAATGGATTGTAAACCAGAGCGTTTACAACGACTGTCTCCTTGTTACTGCTGAAAACTCACTTCTTTATGCCTGATGTCGGCACACTTGGGACTCTGCAATATGGATGTCTGATATAAAATGGGGTTTTATTTGGGAGGGACACACTACACAGTTAACATTAAATGCCCTTTATTTTTCGTACAATTGGAGCTTTCAAATCAAGTCATAGTCATATAACTTTTCATCTCCTTTCTCTCTTGCTCTCCTTGTCTGTTTCCTTCCACCCTCAGGAAAATCCCCCTATCTCTATCCCTTTATTTTCAAGAAGCAATCATGTAGTAAATCCCATCCCACTGAGTCAAATTTAGGTCATCTTTTATTTGGTCAAAATATAGTCTTCCTGGCAAGTGGTATCACTATTATTCAGGAACACACATATTGTTTTACTTACAGCTCTGTAGTATTTTATGTTCTCATATAAATGTTATGCCTGGATTATAGCTGAAGCAAACTGGACTCCATTTATTTGAAAAAATAATGGGGAATCAGGTTTATTCTATCCACCTTCCTGACAGTTTCCTATTTCTCAAAGGGGCCCTTGCACGGGCTGTGTGGTGCTGCTCTGCAAACAGGCTCTCCTCCGATTCTCAGGGATGGCTTTCCTATCAGCCTGCAGCAAGCCCTCTGTGGGAGAGGGGATGACGCCGCCGGGCAGGGAGGGAGGGAAAGCTGCTTTGCTGGGCTACTTGTAGAGACGGTGGTGGACAAAGCCATCAGGTTCTCTCCGGTTAAGGTCTTGGAAGGGTGTTAGTAAAATGGTGACACTTTCTTTGGGCAAGGTGTTCAGCACAGATGGAAGACTGCAGGCCTGAGTGTGGATTTGTGCAACCTCATCGCCACTACCCTGTAGTCAGAGAGGGACTGTTTAGGAGTGTGTGTGTGTGTGTGTGTGTGTGTGTGTGTGTGTGTGTGTGATTACTTTGCCTGAGCTTCCACTCACTAGCAAATGGTGAAGCCAGAATAGCAGTCTGGCCCTAAAATCCAGGCTCTGTCTGCCATGCTTCTCAGTTTTTCTAAACACACGATTGCCTATTCCACTTCTCTATTTACAACATGTTACCTTGTACTTATACATGTATATACATATGTATATACACATATTGCTATTTTTATGGTTATGTGTGCAGGAACATAGCTCTGGAACTTCTTTCACAGAATTACACAAATAGGAACTGCATTCTGGAACCTTGTTTCTGACAGAACTCAGTTGCCTGTGTAATGAGACACGTGCTACGTACACATGAAATTGAATGTTCAAATCAAATAGGAAAATGTGCTCACTGATGCACAGCGTTCCTCTCCTCCTGAAGCAGCAGGAGCCACGTTTTCGTCAGGTGCCTTAGTCGAGTGGTTGTGCCTTCCCCCGGCTCTGAAGGAAGGCCAGCGTGTCCCATAGGCACACACCCAGGAGGACTACCAGGAGAGAAGGGGAGACAAGGCAGCAGTAGCTGCAAGATTCCCTGGATTAGGACACCATGTGATGACATGATAACTTGATCTCATCATTCTTCTCAACTCCCCTGGTCTGGGGATGGTGGATGGATAACTCTAAACCCAGGCTCCCATCAGACTGTCTACGTGGACACACAGAGAAGCAAGGGACAGAGGGTATGATTCCAGACAGCAGAGTCTGGGGTGCTAAGAGTACATGCTGGTGTCAGTTGACTTAGGTTCCAAGCCTTGGTCCATTATTTTCGTGACCTTGGACAAATTACAACAATACTCAGTGCCTCGATCTTATGCTGTGTCATAGGGTTAGTGTGAGAATTTGGTAGGATAAAAATATGAATACTGCCTGGAACAGAGTAAGCTTCCAGTGAATAGAGCTAATATTATCATTAAAACATGGTCAGAAAAAAAAATAAAACATGGTCAAGATGGATAGTTTCTCACAGATTATTCTTTTTACCAGTGCCTGATAGATTGTGTTAAAACATTTGTTTATACCTTTTGAAGGCATATCACTAGACACTACATGTTACTATTTATTAAAATTCTGGTTAGTTGAGTTAAAAAATTAAACATCAAACTTCCAATAATTTTTGCTTAACCTGTTACATTTAAGAGTATTGCTAAGTGGGGCACTTGGGTGGCTCGGTCGGGTGAGCATCTGCCTTCAGCTCAGGTCATGACCTCAGGGTCCTGAGATTGAGCCCTACATCAGGCTCCCTGCTCAGTGGGGAGTCTGCTTCTCCCTCTGCCCCTCACCCTGCTCACGCTCTCTCTCTCTGGCTTTCTCAAATAAATACAATCTTTAAAAAAGAAAACAAAACAGAAAGAGTATCGCTAAGGAATCATGGTAGATTCACAAAACATAGGTATCTGGTTTTATACATGTACACACACACGTTTGTGGTAAAAAGCACATAACTACCATCTAAACCATTTAAGTGTACAGTTCAGTTATGCTGCTATATTCACATTGTTGTATGAACTCTAGAACTTTTTATCTTGCAAAACTGAAACTTTATACTCACTGAACAACTCCTCTCTTTCCCCTTCCCCTAGCCCTTGGCAACCACCATTCTGCTTTCTGTTTCTGTAAGTATGACTATTCAAGATACCTCATATAAATGAAATCATACAGTATTTATCCTTTTGAGTCTGGTATATTTTCCTTAGCATAACGTCCTTAAGGCTCATCTATGTTGTGGCATGTCATGGGATTTCCTTCATTTTTAAAGACTGAATAATATTCCATTGTATGGCTGTAACATTATGCTTATCTATTCATTGTTGATAGACATTAGGATTGTTTCTGCTTCTTGGATATTGTGAGTAATGCTGCAATGAACATGGATGTGCAAATATCTTTCTGAGATCCTGCTTTCAATTTTTCTGGATATATACCTAGAAGTGGGATCGCTGGATCATATGATAATCCTTTTTTTTTTTTTAAAAAAAAGATTTTATTTATTTATTCATGAGAGAGAGAGAGAGAGAGAATGAGAGAGAGGCAGAGACACAGGCAGAGGGAGAAGCAGGCTCCAAGCAGGGAGCTCAACGTGGGACTCCATCCCAGGTCTCGAAGATCAGCACCTGGACTGAAGGCGGAGCTAAACCGCTGAGCCACCGGGTCTGCCCTAATCCTACTTCTTAAAAAAGATTTATTTACTTATTTGACAGAGAGATAGGAAGAGAGAGAATCTTAAGCAGACTCTCCACTGACCACAGAGCCCGATGCAGGGCTCAATCCCACGACCCTGAGATCATGACTTGAGCCAAAATCGAGAGTCAGACACTCAACTGACTGAGCCATCCAAGCATCCCTGATAATCCTAATTTTAGTTTTTGGAAGAACCTCCATACTGTTTTCCACAGTGGTAACACTTTATGCATTGTACATTCCCACCAACAGAGCAAGAGGGTTCTATTTCCTCTACATCCTTACTGACACTTGTGATATTCTCTTTTTTAGGTAGGAGCCATCATAAGGGCTATGAGGTGATATCTATTGTGGTTTTCATTTGCATTTCTTTGATGACTAGTAATGTTGAGTACTTTTCATGTGCTTTTTGGTCACTTGCATATCTTCTTCAGAGAAATGTCTATTCAAGGCCTTTGCCCATTTTTAAAAATGAATTACATGAGTTTTTGTTGTTGAGTTGTAAGAATTCTTTATGCATTCTGGCTATTAACCCCATATCAGATATATGATTTGCAATTATTTCCTCCCATTAGGTAGGCTGCCTTTTCACTCTATGGATTGTTTCCTTTGGTGTGCAGAAGTTTTTAAGTTTGATACTGTCCTATTTGTCCATTTTTCCTTTTGCTGCCTGTGCTTCTGATGTCATATCTAAGAAATGGCCAAATCCAATGTCATGAAACTTTTCTCTTTGTTTTCTTATAGCAGTTTCATGGCTTTATGTATACTGTTTAATGTGTAAGTCTTTAATCCATTTTGAGTTAAATTTTTTTAAGATTTTATTTATCCATTTGAGAGAGGGAGACAGAGCATGAGCAGTGGGGAGGAGACAGAGGAAGAGGGAGAAGCAGGCTCCTCATTGAACAGGGAGCCCAACGTGGGGCTGGATCCCAGGACCCTGAGATCATGACCTAAGCTGAAGGCAGATGCTTAACCAACTAGCCACACAGGTGCCTGAGTTAATTTTTGTATATGGTGTAAGGCAAGAGTCTTCATTCTTTTGTATGTGAACATCCAGTTTTCCCAGCATCATTTGTTGGAGAATCTAACCTTCTGTATTGGGTGGTCTTGGCTCTCTTGTTGCAAATCATTTGACCATATACTTGAGGTCTGGCTCTCTGTTTTCTTTTTCTTTTTTTTTTTTTAAAGATTTTATTTATTTATTCATGATAGACACACACACAGAGAGAGAGAGAGAGAGAGAGAGAGAGAGAGAAGCAGAGACACAGGCAGAGGGAGAAGCAGGCTCCATGCAGGGAGCCTGATGTGGGATTTGATCCTGAGACTCCAGGATCACGCCCTGGGCCAAAGGCAGGCACCAAACCGCTGAGCCACCCAGGGATCCCTCTCTGTTTTCTTTTATTGGTCTGTGTATTGTCTAGGTCAGGGCCATACTATTTTATTATCGTAGTTTGTAATACATTTTGTAGTTAGGAAGTGTGAGGCCACTAACTTTATTCTTTTTTTTTCAAGATTGGTTTTGCAGTTCAGAGTCCCTCGATTCCATATCAATTTTAAGGTTTTTTTTTTTCCTGTTTCTGCAAAAAATTGTCCTTGGGGTTGTATTGAATCTAAACATACATATATACATACATATATGTATATATATGTGTGTGTATCTTTAAATATTTATTTATTTATTTATTTATTTATTTATTTATTTATTTATTTATTTACTTACTTACTTATTTATTTTAGTAGATTCTATGCCCAGTGTAGAGCTCAATGCAGGGCTTGGACTCACGACCCTGAGATCAACACCTGAGCTGAGATCAAGTCAGTTGCTTAACTGGGTGAGTCAACCAGGTGCCCCTGTATGTATATACTTTTAAACAAAGGATTATAATAACAACATGGATATTTATTAAATGTGGGATATATATATATATATATATATATATATATATATATAAAGTTTCCTCAGGGCTTCCATAACAAAAAACCACAAACCAGGTGGCTTAATAACAGAAAGTTAGTCTCTCATAGTTTTGGAGTCTGGAAAAGTGCTGGCAGGGCTGTGCCCCCTCCTCCTAGCTTCTGGTGGTTTGCTGGCAATCCCTGCTGCTTCTTGGTTTATAGCTGCAGCGTTTCTAACTCTGCCTGGCCCATCACTGGGCTGTCCTCTCCCTGTGTGTTACTCTCCCCTCTTTATAAGGGCAGCACTACTTTGTCGTAATAATTACATCTGGAAAGACCCCATTTCCAAATAAGGTTCCATTCTGAGGCACCAGGACTAGGACTTCAGCATATGTTGTTTGGAGGGACACAATTCAACTCATGACAGTATGTTTTGGGCACTATGCTAGAATCCGGACATCTCCTTTACTCCTTAGGAAATTAACAGTTATTGCCTTCCTTATGTGGAGGAGGACATTGAGCTTTAGAGGAACTGCATGACTTGCTTAGGTTTTCCAGCTACTGGACAGTCCTCCAAACCTTTGCCTTTGCAAGTAACCAGGCACTTAAATTTTTTTTTTTTTTTTTTAGTATATGTGCTGCTGAAGTGAGCACTAAAAATTTTTTTTAATTTAAAAAATCTTTTATATCAGAAAGGGACACAGAACATAAAGACTTCTAACTCTGGGAAATGAACTAGGGGTGGTGGAAGGGGAGGAGGGCGGGGGGTGGGGGTGAATGGGTGACGGGCACGGAGGGGGACACTTGACGGGATGAGCACTGGGTGTTATTCTGTATGTTGGTAAATTGAACACCAATAAAAATTAATTTATAAAAAAAAATAAAAAAAATAAAAAATCTTTTAAAAAAATAAAAAATCTTTTAAAGATTAATTTATTTGAGAGGGAGAGAGAGAGAGAGAGAGAGAGAGAGAGAGAGAGAGCGAGCAGAAGCAGGGGGAGGGGCAGAGGGAGAAGCAGGCTCCCAGCTGAGCAGGACTCAATCCCAGGACCCTGGGCTCCAGACATAAGCCGAAGGCAGACACTTAACCAACTGAAACACCCAGGTGCCCCTAACCAGGCATTTGATTTAGAGGAGAGACTTTGCTTTTAGGACCCTCTCATACGTCAGTATTTTAGTAATGGTTTTCGTTATGTTTCTGTTTGATCCAAAGATTTTTTTCAGATGGTCAGCTCACCTGGTCAGAAAGGTTTCTCAGAAGCTGGAGCAGGCCTGTCTGGTCAGATTCCACCCCCCCCCCCATTCTTGTGGATATGAGTACAATGTGTGCCATTCAAGGGACTTTGGGTATTCACCCAGCAGTACAGAAAGGTCTAGAATCTAGGACTTAGAGACAACTCAGAGAAGACTGAAGACACACATGGGTGGTGATTTCCTAGTTGCACGGATGGTATCTATAATATTGGATACACAGTGATATATATAAGACTCAAGATGAACACATAGTTATTGCCTTTCACAAAGAAGAGAGAAAATGGGCCATTTGCTTCCATCTCTTCCCCTTCCTGATCCTCTACATCGCTAGCCTTCCAAAGACTGGGCAAATTGGGGAAATGGAGGCAATCCAGTGTTATTTTCCATCTTCACCTTAAAATTGCTTCCAGAAAAAAACAAGCCAGTGAAATAAGCATGTCTAGCTCTCCTCAGGACCACTCACATCTTAGCAGAATGCAAAGACAAAAGAATCGAACTAGATCTATTCTTCTGACCTCCTTTCTCAAAGCAAGACATTAAACATTTTTTTTAAATTAAAATTTACATACAAATCCACAAAGAAAAGTAGATGGAATGGGAGGCCCCTTGGCTGGATCAGGGGTGTGGGAATCCTGGAGCAGTTCTGTTTGCTCTTCCTTACTCTTTGGGGCAGCCTGTGTGGACTACCCCTCTCCCCAGTACAGAACCCTTGGGGCCTGGGGAGCCCAGTTACAAATCACTGGTCCGGGTAACCATTTAAATTTTTTGAATAAAGAAAGATCTCTATGAGAAATAAAAGTAAGGGACAGAATAGCACATGTGGCATGGTCCCATTCCTCTTCTCAGTACTTGGCAGGTCCCAATGACTTATGTCTGTGTAAACATCCAGAGAAAGAACCAGAGGAATCTACAATTCCTGCGAGAACAGGTACTTCTTGGGAAAGGCAGAGAGATTAGAGAGAGGACATCAAGTGGGCTTTCAAACCTGAACTGTGTGCATTTTTTTTTCCTGCAGTGTTCATGCACTTAGATGTCATTTGCATAATTAAAAATAAATGGAAAAAGAATGAATTTTAAAAACTAAATGCCTATGTGTCTGTAACGTAAGCATTTCACTTATCAACTCACATCATTTTATATTTATTTATTTATTTAAAAGATTTTGTTTATTTATTTGAGATATTTGTTTATTTGAGAGAGAGAGAGCATGGGGGGGGTGGGGTGCAGGGAGAGCAGAGGGAGAGGGAGAAGCAGACTCCCTGCTGAGCAAGGAGCCCAAGCTGGGACACTGGGAGGCCAGGCTGGATCCCAGGACCCTGGGATCGCGACCTGAGTGGAAGACAGACACTTAACCACAAGAGCCACCCCGGTCCCCCAACTCACATCATTTTAGGAGACTGTACTTGTTTGGGTCAAACAGTAAGTTACTTTTTATTTATACACATCCATGTTCACACCAGTATCTCTTTGGTAGCTTGGAGATATTTGATCCATATAGCTCTGATTTATTTATATGTATCGACATAGTGAGATCCTCTACAGGACAGGCTGATACAAGACTGAAGTTGCCTTTCACAACATCGCTTTGCTTTTGCCTTTGTCTTCCCTCAATCAATAAGCAGTCACATTTTACCAAAGGCAGACTCTGGCCCAAGGATGTTTGGGGAGACTTTACAGAGAAGGGCATTCATCTCACGTCGAGAGAAGGTGTTTTACTTTTTCACTTACCTGGCAAGACAGGCCCAAGAATGAGAATTCCCCTCAAGCCCAGAAGGAAACTGAGTGGACTATGTTTTTTTTTTTTTTGGAAGGGTTTACAGCCTGCCCGAGATTTTACCACCTGCTGCCTAGCACAAGATTTTTATTTCTGAGAAGGTAAGGAGGAGGGCAAGATGAACAGTCTCACTGACTTGACTCCTAGTCTCTTGCTGCCATAGCTTCATGACCGTTAAAGCTCAATGATTCCGATTTGTTGTGATTTCTGTTAATATCTTGCCTCTGCCAAGGAAGAAGTGACTCTCAAAGTTCTGCTTCTCTTTTTCCATTCGTTCTCATTAACCTGTATTCTCTGTGTACCTGCAGCCAAACTGTAAAAAGAGCTCAGAACCTATTATCTATGAGTTGGCAGAAATGTGGAGGGGTGCCCAGGAAAAGCGTTCATTCATCGACTCACATAGTGGTTTATTGAGTATCTACTATGTGCCAGCTACGTAATAGTTACGAGGGATGAAAAGATAATTGTAACACAGTCCATGAGCTTACCCCCGAGGAGCCTGGAGTCTAAACATGTGGATATTTCTGAAGAATCACAGACCACGAATTCAGAGTCAGAAAGGAATCTGACTGTATTACTGTCCACTTCATAGAAAGCTGGTCTTGATCTAGTTAGTAAAGCTGAATACAGCTAGCTAGGTGGTAGATAGACATAGATCTAAATCAGCTAAAAACTGATATTATTATCAGTATTACATAGATCTTGATAAATTATAAATTATCCTTTAAAAAATTCCTGTTTCCTTTTTCTCATTGCTAGTGGCATGTGACTTTCTTTTTTCTTGTCAGATGAATTAGTTGATTGGGGAACATTAATTTATCTGAGTCGTAGACAACCACACACACACACACACACACACACACACACACACATAGAAGTTTGGGAATGTCCTCTCATATAAAAAGCACTGGTCCAGCTAGAAAGGCTATCGTTGGGACACCTGGGGAAATTTAAATTTAAATGTGGGCTGGCTGTACATTACGGCATTAACTTTCCTGGTGTGATAACTGTCGTAATTTTATGTGGTAGGTTGTCCTCATTCTCAGGAGGGCTGAGGTTAAGTGTCATGATGTCTGCAAGAAACTCTTAAGTGACTCAGCTGTAAATAGATGAAAAAATGAAGATAAATAGAAATAGCTAGAATTATTCAATTGGAGAGAGAGAGAGAGAAAAAGCAAATATGTACTTGGTAACAATTGGTGCATCTGAGTGAGGACTATGTGGGTGTTATACCATTTTTGGAGCTTTTCTGTAGGTTCAAGAAACCCCATGGCATAGGGTATAGCCTACCAATGGAACTTTGTCCAAGTTCCTGGCACCACTTGGACCTTTCATTATTGTACATATTGTACAATAGCAAAATACTTGGGGGATATCATAGATTCTGGATCCATTGCCTTTCCTTCATTCTAATGTGTTCTGTTGGCTATGATCATTAAAACAACTGATGCCTACTGTTGGGATACCAGTTGTCTGTGATTCATTCTGAATCAAAGTCCTTGTTCATAGCTAAGTGCCATCGATTGATAGGATGCATCTTTTTTTTTTTTTTTAAATATGCCACTATGAAAGAGTCTAAATTTTTTAGATGCCATTAACCCCAACTGCACAGTGATATCACAGATGTGAAAATTTGGAAAAAATTGCATCCAAGATTCAATGAGACTTCACACATCACCAGGATTCTTACAAGGAGGCACCAAGGCAAAGTGTAGGCAAGGAGAGGCTGACCAATGAATGCTACCCGAGTAAGCGTCCGGGAGCCAGTATTCCTGGTGGGCAGTGCCTGGGAGTACCCATCACTGAAATGTAAAGAAACAGAACATGTGCCTAATATGAGTTTAGGCATCTTCATTTGGTCACTCCTCTTCCTGTTGGTGTCCTAAAAGTCAGGCCCTTTGCACATGCCATCTCATTTTATCTTCACTACACCCTTGTATTTATGATTATGCCCTCTTTGGAGACAGAGAAAGCTGAGGGCTAGAGACATTGCATGCCTTGCCCAGGGCCACACAGGAAGGAGGAGGTGGAGCTGTGTCTCTCAAGTAAGCAGACCGCTGTCAAAATCCACACTCTAACTGCTGTTCTGTACACTTTGCTCCAAATGCAAAAATAAATAAATAAATAAATAAATAAATAAATAGGCATGAGGAAAATGGCTGTGGTTATATAAAAATTTAAAAATATGAACACACATAAAGTGACATCTGGAAATCTGGGTCCTCTTGTCAGTGAGGTCTCCCCAGATGGTCTTTTATTAAAAAAGCCCCCCCCCTTTCCTGCTCCCACATGCCCATCCTCCCTTCCTCTGCTTGTTTTCTCTCAATGGCACTTCCCACCATCACCATCCCCCCCTACAGCCTATTTATCTATCCTCCTCCTTGAATCTTAAGTGTGAGAAGGACACTGTCTTTCATTCATTGCTGTGTCTCCAGCACCTACAGCAGTGTCTCTCACATAGCAGGTGCTCAGTACAGCAGGTACTGAATGGGGTCTAGTCCTGTGTTTGTCCCTTGGGAAGCCATTGGTCTGATTCCAAAGCTCTTGGTCTGAACTTTCTTCCAACCAGCCTAGGACCCTCCTCCTCCCCCATCTGTATCAGCCCTTCTGTGCTTCCTTCCTGTAGCTCTTTGCAATGGGACACGGTGCATCTTCACTTACCATTTCAGTCCCTCCCTCCATTGTTACCTGGTCAAAATTAAAGTTCTTGTTCCTCATTTGTCTTCAAAGCAGTGGTCTTCCTGGGATCATGACCTGAGCTAAAGGCAGACACTTAACTGACTGAGCCACCCAGGTGCCCCTAGCGTGTCATTTCTATCAGAATTTAAACCAACTTGAGTTTCTTTCATTTGAAGGGGGGAAAAAAAAGCAACCAAAGACCCTAAGAATAAAGCATCAGCATCACCTTCCAATCAAACTTCAAAATTTACATACATACATATGTGTGTATATATATATGTGTGTGTATAAATATATAAAAATGTAAAATATATTGTGTATTATATAAAATATTATGTACAAATATGTATTATGTTTTTTTGTGTATATGATTTTTCACAAATGTACAAATGTGATCATATCATCATACTGTGCCTGAATATTTCATTTTGCAAAGGGGATGCTAGTTTTGCTAAAAAGAAATGGGGGCATTCAATTGTCTTTCTTATGTCATGCTTTTTGGCCTATAATTTCCGAAGAGGGGACTTTGAGGTTTATCCTTCAGGGAAGGCCTTTTGCCTCTTTAGCAAGACAGTAGGTTTGACGGAGTAACCCAACCTCACTAGTTCCCTGCCCTGACCCGCACCTCCTTCCAGTACACTCACCACACTGCTGCAGAGGGACGCCTCTAAAGGACCAATCTGAGACCTTTCCTAAGCTTTTCAATGAATCATCATTGTCTTCAGGGTGAATCTCAAACATCTTGATGTCTTTTGCAAGATGCAACTTAACTGTGTTCTCCCCACCTCCCACCTCTTGGGGCAGACTGTTATTGTTCTCAACGGTTTATGGCTACTTCCTGGGGGAGAGATTATATTTCCCCTGCCCCACTGGTGGCAAGTGTGGCGACATGTCTTGCTTTGGCCAGTGAAATGTGAGCAGCCATGGCATTTCCAGGCAGAAGTTTAATAGCCAGTGCCTGGCTCACTTCCCCTCCCTCCTGAGACCAATAATGTTCCATATAGAGCTTATTTCTACCATCTACTAGCTCCTGGGGTGAATACAAAATAAGCAGAGCTCCCTCTGATTTTCAATGGCCAGGTAACATTAGGAAGAAGTCAATGCTTGTTATAAACCACTGAGATTTGGGGGTCATTTGTCACTGCGCTATAACCTCTTCTGTCCTGACTGAGGCACATTTGCAACCTTATCTCGTCATTCCCTCTTTGCATCTTAAGCTCGAATCTAATCATGTTTCAAATGTTTTTGAGTCCACCCACTGTAAGAAATATATTTTACGTGGTAACCTGGTACTTGCTTCAAGGATATACATAGATACACACGTAAATTGAACAAAAGCTCTGCGGAAAGATCCTTACTGTGTGCAATTCACTCCGATCTATTTCTATTCTATTCTATTCTATTCTATTCTATTCTATTCTATTCTATTCTATTCCATTTAAGCAAAAAAGCTGGTCAGGCCCACTAAGTTGATTCCATGACTCATGGATGAGTCACAATCCTGTTTGGAGAACATTGCTTGACCCTATTGAAAAACTGCACTTCCGCTTACAGCCCTAAATGTTCTCCAGGGCTCTGTGAGAAAGACACCTATTCTAGGGAAAAAAATCTTCTATTGTAGGGTGGCCTAAGTGGTCCCATAGCAGCTAGTATTTCACTGTTTTATAGTCAGCTCTTTTTTTTTCTTTTTTGTTTTTAATTGTGGTAAACAACAACAACAAAACAACAACCACATAACATAAAATGTATCATCTTAACCATTTCTTTTCTTTTAAGTAGGTTCCACACCTAGCATGGAGCCCAACTCGGAGCCCAACATGTAGCTTGAACTCACAAACATGAATTCAAGCGTTGGATGCTTAACCTACTGAGCCACACAGGCACCCCTAACATCTTAACCATTTTAAAGAGTACAGTTCAGCAGTGTTGAGCATATTCCATTGCTGTCCGGAATGCCTTCCATCTTGCAGATTTGAACTCTGTACCAATTGAACAATAACTCCCTTACCCCACCTTTCCCTAGCCAACTGCCATTCTACTTTCTGTGACTATGAGTTTCACTACTTTAGATACTTCATAACAAGCGAAATTCTAAAGTATTCGCCCTTAAAAAAAAAAAAAGATTTTAAGTAACCTCTACAGCTAACGTGGGGCTCAAACTCATGACCCTGAGATCAAGACTCACATGCTCTACCCACTAAGTTAGCCAGGTGCCCCATTATTCACCCTTTGGTGACTAGTTTAATTCACTCAGTGTAATGTCCTCAAGATTCATCCATGTTGTAGTGTGTGTCAGAATTTCTGTCCTATTTAAAGCTGAATAACATTCCATTGTATATAACATTTCTTATTTCCTCATTTACCCATTGATAGGCATTTGGGTTTCTTTTACCTCATGGTTATTTTGAGCAGTACTGCTGTGAACATAGATGGGTATGCAAAGATCTCAAGAGCCTTTCTTTCTTTCTTTTTAAAAGATTATTTATTTATTTCAGAGAGAGAGAGAAAGAGCATGAGTGGGGAGGAGGGGAGTTTGGGGGAGGGGCTCTGTAGGAGAGGGAGAAGCAGACTCCCTGCTGAGCAAGGAGTCCAACACTGGGCTGGATCCCAGGGCCTGAGCTGAAGGCAGATGCTTAACCAACTGAGCCACTAGGTGCCCAAGAACCTGCTTTCAATTCTTTTGGATACATATCTGGCAGTGGGATTGAGGAATCTTCATACCATTTTCTATAGCAGCTGCGCCATTGTACATTCCCCAAAACAGGGCATAACAGTTCCAATTTCTTCATATCCTCACCAACACTGTTATCTTCTGTGTTTTTGATAGTAGCCATCCTTTTTTTTTTCTTTTAAAATATTTATTTATTTATTTATTTATTTTAGAGAGAGAGCACATACATCAGGGGAAGAGCAGGAGGAGAAGGAGAGGGAGAATCACCAGGAGATGCTGCACTGAGCTCAGAGCCCAACACGGGGACTTGATCCCAGGACCCTGAGATCATAACCTGAGTTGAAATCAAGAGTTAAATGCTCAACTAACTGAGCCACCCAGGTACCCCAGGGTTTTGTTTTTTTAGTATTTATTTATTTGAGTAATATTTAATATTACTTTATAATATATAAAATATTACTTTAATATTTATTTATCTAAGAGAGAAAGTATAGTAGCCATCCTAATTGGTGTGAGGTGATTTTGTTCTTAAGTCATGTGTATTCCCCAAGTGACCTGTACAGTCCTTGGAGACAAGAATGATTATTATCCTCCAGGGCACCTCCAGTCTTAACATGATGTTTGTCATAAGCATGTACACAATAATATGTATATCATGAAAGAAGGTGTTCCCCTCTGGTAGTTTTAAAACATGTCTGCAAATTCTGTCACTCTTTCCTTCAAAAAGATAGTACTGATTACTCTCCTCTTCGATGCTGGCCAGGCTTACTGACTCTCTTCTAACAAATAGGATGGGGTGGAAGTAATGCTGTGGGACTTCTGAGGCTGATCATGAAAAGATTATAGCTTCTGTGCAGCTCTCTTTTGGATCACTAGCTCCAGCGGAAGCCAGCTGCCATGTTGTGAGGACATTCAACAGGCCTATGAAATAGCCATGAAATAGCAACTGAGGCTTCCCAAGAGCAGCCGGGGCCAGCCATCCTACATGTGGTTCCTCAGTCCTCCCATCCCAGTCAAGCCTTCAGATGACTGCAGCTCCAGCCAACATCTGTCTGCAACCCCATGTACAACCCTGAACCAGGACCTCCTGGGTCTCTAACTTCTGACCTAAAGAAACTCCAAGAGCTAACAAATATCTGGTTTAAGCTACTCAGTTTTGGGGATAATTCATTACACAGCTGTCCTCCTACTTTATAGATAATCAAGTTGATGCTTGTAGAAATAAGGTAAGCTGCTCTGGACCACACAGTAAGTGGAGGTCCTGAATCTCAAAACTTCTAGACTCTATGACTTTTAACAACATGCAGTAGTTGACTCTGGATGAAGGTGTGATGGCCCCCACTGTGAGAGTCTCTCTGGAATGGCCCATGCAGCATGCCACAGCGTCATTACTCTGGGCTCACATCTTGGGCTGGCTTGGGTCTTCTCCTCATTACTAACCTCCAAAGAGTAATTTAGAGAAAAGAGTAATTGGAAATTGTATTCAATGAAATAAACCCCAAATAACCAAAAAGCATCTAGATTCTGTCTTTTCTCCTTGGCCCTTCGCTTGCTCTCTGGCTTCTCTGGAGTCATCTTTACCCTGGCCAGTTATTTGACAACAAACCCCTCTTGCTCCTGGCTGGACCATGCCAGTGGTTCTGTAGAACAATTAAGCTTCATTTCAGGTTGAGCTAATTTCATGACAGCTTTCCACACTGGAGGCCATCATCCATACGGGATCAGAGTGCTTGGGCTGCGCGGCTGTGCTTTGGAAGCCATCCCTGGCAAGTGCTCCTCTTGCCTCCATGCCCCCTTCTGTCTCCGCTGAGGTTGGGTCATGGCTTTTGCATCCTTTCCCCATCTCTCCACATTCTCACCTCCGTGCTTTACTCACTGGCTCCTATTTCAGGTTATGTTGTGTTCTTGGGAAGTCCATCTCTTCTCCAAATCTCAGTTTACTTACCTGAGGAATGGCTGTAAGAGTATCTGCCTTGCAAGGTGGTCCTGCAGGTTTAATGACAGGACCCAGGTAAGGCCCCCAGTGTGGCGTCTGGCACAGGGTCTGAGTTGTAATGATGTTCATAAACGAGAGCTTTTATCTAGTGTTTCTCTTTCCATTATCAGCTCTGTTCCCTAATTCTCTCTCAGCCCATTACAGAGATCATACCCTATTTGTCGTGTGGCCTAAGATCGCTTCTTCCTTCTGTGTTTTTTCCTCTGTCACTGGAGCAGCTGCAGCATTTCAGAACTACCATTTGGGATTCAGCTTGTTTTTCTGCTCCCCTCCTGGGCCACGTGGCTCTAAACTAGCCCCTCCCACCTTCTGGTTTGTCTGTCCTCTTGTTTAGCTTTCTACTGCCCTCCCCAAGGTTCATGAAGCCCTCTGCCATCTGCCCTCACCTGGCCCAGCTGTTTTTAGGTCACCTAATCCTTTTACATTATTCCCTTCCCAGGTAACCAACAAATGGCTCTATTCTCCAAGTGACTCCCACAGATGCTTCCTCCGTCTCTAAAAAATACTTGACACTGACGTTTCAATATGACTTTGGCTCCTGCAGATTCTTCTTCCAAACTCCTAATCCTACTCTCCTCTTGGGGGGAAGGGGATATCCCTCACCAGCTCATAGAGGGGCACACCCTCCTGAAGACACGCGGACTGCAGTCCTGTGCAATGATAGAATTTTCAACGTTTAATCTAAGTTTTGGATTATAGAAGTAAGAAGCCCTTAGAAGTCCCCAGGGGCAGCCTGAAGGACACATCTGACCCATTCTGAATTTTATCGCTGATTTGCAAATTACTTGGGGACACGTTCCTTTCTATCCAGTTGATTAGAAGAACTCCTCCATGACCTGCTAACATTTCAGACTGACTTCACGAATATATATATATATATATATATATAATATATATATTTTATATATATATATAATCACAAAATATGTAATTACTCTCTCATCTCCCCCACGCCATTCCCCTGCATTCCAGTCAAGAGTCTTTCAAGCAAACACAGTAGTCCCAGTAGGAAATAGGGAAATGAAAGAAGCTGACTTTCTCTTTTGCTTTTTTGGCAGGAGTTTGCTCTGAAGGCTCCAATAACCCAATGGCCATATGTTGTATTGCCATTTTGAGGTGACCAGAGTGGATTAGTGGGGATAGGAACCCAGGATAGGGATGCTAGGTTGTCATTGTCTCGAAAAGGCAGTTAAAAGGGGCCAGACCTCCTTCATGACCTGCATCTGCCCTTAACTAGGCTTTGTGATACTGAGTGAGCTACTGAACTGGATCAAGTCTTAGACCTTTCCTCCAAGAGGATGTTAATGAAACTCCCTCCCTTGGACTGTTGAGTTGTAATGATGTCACACACAAGGAGCTTCTGGGACTGGGCGTGGAGGGGGTGCTGAAGGGAGGCAGGACTGTGGTGGGCGTGAGGGTCGGTCAACTCTGATTTCTGTAGAGTTGCTTGGACTTTTCTGATCATGGATGAACTGTGCCTGACCAGTCTTGAACTGTGATAAACAGCAAATTTCAGGCAAGGTTATAAGATTCTGCCGGGCAAAGCCGAACAAAGCTCACTTACAGCCTTTTTTTTTTTTTTTTTTTTTTTACAGCCTCTGACTCTTAATGGCTCCTGCAGTTGACAGTCCTTCTCCCAGAAGCCAAAGTGAACTTGTTATCCTGCAGTTTACTTTGCATTTAAATAGCACTTTGCATTTCCAAGGTGCTCAATGGTCATTAATTCATCCTCCCTCTGCTGGGTCCTACTCTCTTCCTTCCTTCCTTCCTTCCTTCCTTCCTTCCTTCCTTCCTTCATTTATTTATTTATTTATTTATTTCCTGCCAAGTGGGGAGCTGGCTGAAACTTGGAGATTTGCCCAAGGTCACACAGACCTGTTCTGGGAGGTGTGAGCCTGTTCTTTTTCACATCCTGGTTCTATGCTAAGTTCACTGTAGCGTGTTACTTCTCACTGCTCAGGGGTCATCAGGTGAGATCAAAGAGCTTTTGGGTCTTTGGGAAAGGATTCCCAAAGTTAGTGTTGCTAGAACTTCTTTTCCTTCATTTTGGGAAGTTTGGGGGCAAATGTTCAGGTAGTGGCCCTCAGACCTTAGGATACTGAGCTGCCATATTGAGTCTGAGGGGAATTATCCCAGTTAATTCAGATCCTCTGCTTAATGTCACTTTGAGTCAATCTGGCCATGGTTCAGAGATTGACCCAGGCATTTGGGTGATATAGCCGGAATCCATTTTCCCCTTCTCTCATAGACAGAATCCATTTTATAAGAAACACACAGGGATCCCTGGGTGGCGCAGCGGTTTGGCGCTTGCCTTTGGCACAGGGCGCGATACTGGAGACCCGGGATCGAATCCCACGTCGGGCTCCCGGTGCATGGAACCTGCTTCTCCCTCTCCTTATGTCTCTACCTCTCTCTATCTCTCTGTGACTATCATAAATAAATAAAAATTAAAAAAAAAACACACAGAAATCATCCACTCATCGCTCTCCAAATGCCTGTCATTCTACCACCCATTCTCCCTTTTCTTCCTTCCAGGTCTGTGGCTCTGCTGTCTCCCATTTCTCAGAACTGTGCACAAATCTGCACTCCTCCATCCTTTTCCCCTACCCAGCTTCTACCACCCTTGCCCACCCTCACCTCCCACCACCATCAAGGGATTCTTCTCTACTTAAGACAAAATTCAGTGTTCATGTCACAGTCAAGTTATTTGCCAAGAGCAGTCCAGAGGTTTGTTTGTAGATTCACCCATATACCACTGCTACCAAAAGCAGTTTATCTCTCTGCAGGTTCTGCTATTCAGTTTTCTTGAGTTGTTTTTCCTTTTGTACCATTTACTTCTCTTGCTTGTTCTGTTTTGTCTCTCCTACCCCCAAAAAGCATAGTTTAGAGACTCACTACTTCCATTTTAAGAGTAAATCTTTATTTTTTTTTAAGATTTTATTTATTTATTCATGAGACACCCAAAGAGAGGCAGAGACATAGGCAGAGGGAAAAGTAGGCTCCCTGTGAGGAACCTGATATGGGACTCAATCCGAGGACCCTGGGATCATGACCTGTCATGATCCCAAGACAGACGCTAGCTTGACCAATGAGCCACCCAGGTGCCCAATAACGAGTTTTTAATGAGTATTACATTTTAGTTCCTATGACAATCTCCTGGGAAGGAGGGAAGGAATCTAAGCCAGTCTTACCCTTCAGGCCAACCTATCAGCATAAATATCTAAAATGCCTCAAAGAAAGGCTCTGGTCCCTCCTTAAATCTAGAATTGTATCTTAACCTTACCTTTGTCCCCATGGTGACTTACTAAAGTGCCATGTTTATTTTTCCACTGATGTTTCTATCTTCTGGAGATTATCCAGCTACGGTTAGGAGAGCTGAATCTCACTGAGAACATCAAGGTCTTTGAATTGTTGTTTGGGTCTTTATTTTTCCTTTCTGAAGGGCAGTTTCCTTTAAGCTACTCAAGAGCAAACACCAAGGACAAAGGTAGGCGGCCAGAGAATGACAGGTGAATGGTTGGGTGGCAAGATAAGCTGGAGAGATAAGTTCAAGTCTTACTTTTTGCAGAAGTGCAGAGACATGGTCACATCTACCCTGAGAGGGGATTAAATATGAGGTGACTTCCTCTAAAATATCCAGCATTTCTATGAGATTTAAAAAGATTTGAGAATGTAAAATTTTGGCTTACAAATATGTAAGTTCCCAGAGCTATGTTTAAAGAAAACTTTCACGTAGACAAAATGAACTCAAGAACACAGAGCAGACATCCAAATGAACAATTCATAAGCTGATAAACATTTGTCAAGCAGCTACTATGGGTCCAGCATGGGGCAAGGAGATGAATAGGACAGACTTCCTGCTCTCAATTTCTCAAGTAAGGGATTATAGAATGAGATGAAAATCACTATAGAAATATGGATAAAGCACAGGGTAGCTCTCCAGAAAGGGAGGACGGTGTAGTTTAAGTTCCTAGGGGGTTGGTAATTCTGAACTAGGTCTTGAAGGATAAATAGGAGGTCATGAGTCAGGCAATGTAAGATATTTATAGGAACAGAATTTTGTGTGGTGTTTAGGAGACCATAGGACTGGGCTGTACAATGGGAAGGGGGTGCTAAGAGCAGAGCCACACTAAGAATTTGGGGCTTGATTCTTTTAGGTGAAGGAGAATTAATGAAGCATTTAAAGTGATATGATCATGATTGCTTTGCTTTAGTTTATAAAGCACCTTTATAGCAATGTCAGCAATAGAACTAACTCATAGTTTTTGTTTAGTAGCTCCTCATTCTGCTTTGTGTGATGATTCTGTTGTTATTAGCATATTTGAGTTGCTCTGTATACATGCATGCTTATAATACCTTCATTATTCATGGGCTGATTAAGGGCTTTGGGAGTTGCCTCAACTTTGCTGGGGTGTTTGGCTAATTCTTAGAATCGTATAAAGGTGAAGTAAATTACAGAATTTAATAGGTGTTTAAGCTGTACGCTAGGTAATAAAGGAGGGAGAGAAGGGAACTCTTATTTATTGTATTACTAATAAGTACGTTTGGAGGCAACTCTGAGTATGCTGTACAACCAAGAGGGTGGCTCATTCATTTTGGTGGATCTCTGAGATTAGAAATTGTACCACTGCGCTCTCAGTAGCGTGCATAAGGAGCTGGGTGCTGCTGAGAAGATATTTTCTTTCAAAAAAAATTTCATTTAAGTTTATTGCAGATCTCATAATCGAGATGGTAAAACATTACCTGGGGTGTATTGCAAAGGCGCAGAATCAGAGGAATAGCATCACAAAGCCATCAATTGAAGAATACGTATATAAAAGGCTAAAGATCATGAAGCAATTCTAAACCATAGATAGAATGCTGGAATGCACACGAAAAATGGACGAATGGCTTAGATAAATTTCCTAGATTTTTCTTTGGTCAGATGCCAGGCAGTGGTACCTTTTAAATAAAAATGAAAAGAATAAAACCTGGGAAATGCTATTACTATTTTGAAATGACTCAAAATCCCTCTCCTTTTCCTTGTCAAATAATAATAAGGCAAATTGCTCCTAAATTAGAGGAGTAGACACACAAATAAAATAAAATCACACTGATGTGTGCTAAGTGCAATGACACCAAATGTATATGGGTTATTAAGAAAGCACATAGTAGGGGTTTCTCACCTACACCAGGGAGGGTTTTGTGAAGGCATTAGTGAGGAGGTTTTTGAACCATGAGAGGTTGCTGCAGTTTTCAGGCAAAGTATGAAGAGGACAGTAGAAAGAGGTAATGAGAAAGAAGACCCCTCCCCTTTTTCTTTGAAATTTATTTATTTATTTGAGAGAGAGAGAGAGAGAGAGAGAGAGAGAGAGAGAATATGAGTGCACTTGTGCACATAGGGGAGAGGGGCAGAGAGAGAGGGAGAGAGAGTCTTAGGAAGACTGAGGTGAGTATATAGTCCAACACAGGGCTCAATTCCACAACCCTGAGATCAGGACCTGAGCCAAAACCAAGAGTTGGACCCTCAACTAACAGTGTTACCCAGCACCCAAAAAGAAACCTTCTTGAAGCCAGCTGTTCTGTATCTATGATCTGGGGCAAATTACCTCATCATTCGGAGCTCTGATAAGCTCATCTGTAAAATGGGTATGAGAATACCTAGCTCATTGGAGGGTTATGAGAATTAACTACATTATTGAGGTGATATTGTTAGGAGTCATGGGTGTGGGCTCTGGAGTCAGATGATGTATTGGATGAAATAGTGTCCCTCCAAAATTCATGTCTTCTCAGAACCTCAGAATGTGTCTTTCTTTGGAAAAAAGATCTTTGCAGATGCAATTAGTTAAGTTAAAATGGGGCCCTACTCAATGACAATAATGATATTAATAATTGGAAAATAGTAAGTGTTGACCAGGATGTGGAGAAACTGGAACCTTGGTGTCTATTGCTGATGGGAATGTAAAATGGTGTAGCTGCTATGGAAAATAGTGTGGCGGTTCTTCAAGAAGTTATACAGAGGGATCCCTGGGTGGCCCAGCGGTTTGGCGCCTGCCTTTGGCCCAGGGCGCGATCCTGGAGACCCGGGATCGAATCCCACGTCGGGCGCCTGGTGCATGGAGCCTGCTTCTCCCTCTGCCTGTGTCTCTGCCTCTCTCTCTGTGTGTGACTATCATAAATAAATAAAATTAAAAAAAAAAAGAAGTTACACAGAGAATCATCATATGATCCAGCAATTTGACTCTTAGGTATATACCCAAAAGAATTGAAGAGACTGAGACTGATACTTGTACCACAATGTTTATAACAGAATTGTTTGCAGTAGCCCAAAGGTGGAAACCACCCAACTGTCCATCAACAGATGAATGAATAAACAAAATATCTATGTCCAACAACGGAATGCCATCTGCAATCAAAAATCCTGAAGTTCTGATTCATGCTAAAACATGGATGAACCTTGGAAACATTATGCTACATGAAATAAAGCAGGGGGGGCCTGGGTGGCTCAGTGGGTTAAGCATCTGCCTTTGCCTCAGGTCATGATCTCAGGTCCTGGGATTGAATCCTGCATGGGGTTCCCTGCTCAGAGGGGAATCTGCTTCTCTCTCTACCTCTGCCGCCCTCCCCCAACTCATTCTCTCTCTCTCTCTCATAAATAAATAAAATCTTAAAAAAAGAAATAAACCAGATACAAAGGGAGAAGTATTGGGTGATTCCAGTTATATGTGGTACCTAGCATAGGCAAATTCATAGAGCCAGTAGAATAGAGGCTACCTGGGGCTGCGGGAGAGGAGAAAGAGGAGTTATTGCTTAATGTGTTTCTGTTTGGTGCGACTTAAGGGCTTTGGAAATCATGGTGATGACTGTACAACATTTTAAGTGTAATTAAGGCCAATGGACTGTAAGCTTAAGAATGGTCAAAATGGCAAGTTTTGTTTTGTTTTCTCACAATAAAAAAAAAATGAGGCTATACTGGATTAGGGTGAGCTCTAAATCCAATCGCTGTTGTCCTTCTAGAAAGAGACAGACACATAGGGAGGAGAATGCCATGCGAAGTCGGAGACCAGATTGGAAGGACTGTGAGCAGCCACCGGAAGCTGGGCGAGGCATGGGACAGATTCTCCTCAGGCTTCCACAAGGAACCTGCCAACGTCTTGATTTCGGGTAAATCCTAGCTCTGCCACCCTTATTTGTGTGAACATGAATAACTTAGAACTTCCCTGAGCACCGGTTTCCTCATCTTTCTTTTTCTTTTTTTTTTTTTTAATTTTTATTTATTTACAATAGTCACAGAGAGACAGAGAGAGAGGGAGAGGCAGAGACACAGGCAGAGGGAGAAGCAGGCTCCATGCACCGGGAGCCCGACGTGGGATTCGATCCTGGGTCTCCAGGATCGCGCCCTGGGCCAAAGGCAGGCGCTAAACCGCTGCGCCACCCAGGGATCCCGGTTTCCTCATCTTTCAAGTGGAGATCATAGCAGGTACCTTCCTGGGTTAGTAGGAAGGTCAAATGAGATGCGACCTTGAACTCTCAACATAGTGGCCGGTGTGAAGTGATCGCTCAATACATGTGTGTTAGGACTGGCAATCATGATGACAATTAGCAACACAGAGAAGCGGGGACTGACTCTGAGGAGAGGCTGGCTTGGCAGCCCGGATGCCAACAGGATTTGTTTGAAAATCAAAAGGATTTACTTCAAAGAAAATTTACTTTCTCATTCTCATCACAGAAGGGATGTGGGGGAAATGTGTTGAGTTGGCGTCATTGAAATGGATATGAAAGTTGAATGATTCGTTCTTCAGGCTCCATGAGGCTTAGGAAAGTTGACAAGTGCATCGTCTTACTGCTAACCATCTTCCTCTCTGGCTGATACACCTCCCCATGCACCCACGCGTGCTGTCACAGTTAGAAGGGAGCTGTGTTCTCACATGGCAAGTGTGCTTTTGCTGCCGGGTGGGCACGAGGCGGGGGGCGGGGGGCGACTGTGCAGGTGGGAGTAGACTGCTCAGGAGCACTGTGAAAATGAGGAGGCTGCCTCCAAGACCAGCAAAGCCAGGACTGCTCTAAAACAACAGAGGAAGTGTATTCGATTGCATTTGGGAATGTAAATGGGAAAAAAAAAATCTATTTTTTTTTGTTTTTTGTTTTGTTTTCAAGTAATTTTTTTGTTGTTATTTTTAAAGAGATTTTATTTATTTGAGAGAGAGAGAAAGACAGAGGGAGTGGAAGAGAGAGCACAAGCAGGGTGAGTGGCAGACAGAGGGAGAAGCAGGCTCTCCACTGAGCAGGGAACTTGATGCGAGGGGGTTTGATCTCAGGACCCTGGGATTGTGACTGAGCCACCCAGGAACCCCTATTTTTTTCTTTTGATTTAAAATCAATTAATTAAGGGGCAGCCCTGGTGGCACAGCGGTTTAGCACCGCCTGCAGCCCAGGGCATGATCCTGGAGACCCAGGATGGAGTCCCACATCAGGCTCCCTGCATGGTGCCTGCTTCTCCCTCTGCCTGTGTCTCTGCCTCTCTCTCTCTAGCTGGGTCTCTATGAATAAATAAAGAAAATCTTTAAAAAAAATAAAAATAAAACCAATTAATTAATATACAGTGTGTTATTAGTTTCAGAGGTAGAGCTCAGTGATTCATCAGTGGCATAGAACACCCAGTGCTCATTCCATCATGTGCCCTTTTTAATGCCCATCACCCAGTTACCACATCCCTCCATACCCCTCCCCTCCAGCAACCCTCAGTTTGTTTCCTGGAGTTAAGAGTCTCTAATGGTTTGTCTCCCAAAATTCCATTTTTCAGAAAGCAGTCTAACCAATACCCTTGATTTACTATGATGGAGCTGAATCCATAGGTGAGTGGGAAGCTTTGGGAATGGTTTGGGTGGGATTGAAAAGCTGTCGTCGTCTGTTGCCTCCTGGGGGATGAGCTGTGATCTCCACCAACACATTCATTGTCTCCAGCAGCATGAACACGCCCACTCTCACTGGTGCTGTGTTGGATTGGTTAGGTGTATGTGCTCCCTAGCACTGGCAACAATTCAGATGTGAATCCGTAGGTCTGTCCAGGCCCAGCTTAGATCCTAGATGCTTCAGGGTCTCTTTCACTATTGGGCTCTATGATTTATAAGGGGTTTCAATATGGGTCATCCAACATGGTCCTCAAAGCAGCCTTGGAGATATGATTGGCCTGGCCTGTCATCTGCACAGTGAGCAGGGACTCTGGCTTGCCAGGTGCAAAGTGCTGGTAGTTTCTGGTGTGTCCCGCAATGGGGCAGGCTCCCCACCTCTGGAGTTCTGGAGGGCAGAGACAGCTATAAACCCTCTCCTGAAGGAGGCTGGAGGGATGGAGCCACAAAATACATACCCCTGGAGGTGAGTGGTGGAGCCTGGGGTCTGGGCCTCAGGCAGGCAAAGGTTCTGAGAGCACACGGGTGTGGGGGTATGGGGGATGGGAGCGAGGGAGAGGGCAGGACGCTGGTGTTGGTGCTCGGGGTTTCTATCTTCCCCCAGCCCGTATCTGCAGGGGTAGGTTGCGTCCACCATGGATGGCTCCCAGTGCCCAAGTCTACGCCCACCAAGCCCTGGTGTTTTGGTGACTCATCAAGTTACACTCACCCGGCATCCCAGGTGATGTGGTCCCCCACGTTGGTCCATTGCCATCTCCAGGACTTTTCCAGACTTGGTTCCCTACCACATCAGTTAGCCTGTTATTGGATACTGTGTGGGGCATGGCTTGCTGACTGTTCCACGGACACCACACCTTACATGCCTGTGTTGTGTTCTTTGTCCTCTTTTTGCTCTTGGGATAAAACACCAACTCTTAACCTGCTCACCAGGCCCCACCTCTGGTGCCCCACATTCCCCCACCACCTTCCCCTCTGGCCACCATGGCCTGTCTTGTTGTGGTCTTCCTCACTCATCTTTTCACCTCTCAGTTTAGAAGTTTCTTGTTCAGAGAAGCTTCTCTGCATCCCTGAGTGAGGATGTCTGCCTTTTGCTTTGTAAGAAATGGAGGTAAAATAGATATAGCACACAATTTACCAGTTTGACTTTTTTTTTTAGGATTTATTTATTCATGAGAGTCACAGAGACATAGGCAGAAGGAGAAAGAAGCAGACCTTCTGTGGGAAGCCTGATGTGGAACCCGATCCCAGGACCTCGGGATCACGCTCTGAGCCGAAGACAGAACTCAACCACTGAGCCACCCAAGTGTCCCCCATTTTGACTGTTTTTAAATGCACAATCAGTGGTGTTAAGTTGTATAACCTATCCACAGAGCCCTTCTTGTTTTATGAAACTGAAACTATGTATCTATTAAATAATAACTCCCCGGCCCTTCCTCCCCTTGGCCCCTGGCACCCACGATTGTATATTCTCTCAGAATTTGACTACTCTCAAAGATATCCTGTAGGTGGGATCAAACAGTATTTGTCTTTTTGTGCCTGGCCTATCTCAGTTAACTTCAAGTACTTGAGGCTCACACATGTTGTAGCCTGGGTCAGAATTTCCTTTCTTTTTAACGCTGAATACTATTCCACTGTATGGATAGACCACATTTTGCTTATCCATTCATCTTTTGATAGACATGTGGGTTGCTTCTACCTTTTGGTTGTGAATAATGTTGCTCTGAACATGGGTGTGCAAATATCTGTCCAAGATTCTGCTTTCAATAATTAAACATTTTTTAAAAAGATTTATTTATTTATTTTAAAGAGAGAAAGAGAGAGATCACATGAGTGAGGGGAAGGGCAGAGGGAGAGAGAATCTCCAGCTGACTTCCTGCTGTGCATGGAGCCCAAAGTGGGGCTCCATCTCACAACCCTGAGATCACAACCTGAACTGACATCAAGAGTTGGACACTTAACTGAGCCATCCAGGAGTCCCTCCTGCCTTCAATTCTTTTAGGTATACCCAGAGTGGGATTGCTAAACCATATGGTAACTTGGTTTAATTTTTGAGGAATGTCCTTACTGCTTTCCACAGAGACTGCACCATTTTGCATTCCCACCAACAGATCATAAGAGTCCAATGTTTCCACCATAGGGTGTCTGTTGTTTCCTTCTAAAATTTCTGCATAGAAGGTCTCCGGTTGCAGTTAAGTCTCTGGCAGGCACAGCTAGCTTTCTACGAAGGAATGCACCCTCAGTCAAGGAGAACCACCAAAGTGCAAAGCCAACCAACTTTCTCATCAGGGCCTCACATTTAGGTGTCCCTAACATTTGCAGGGCACTGGGCAAGAGTATACATGGAGGGTCTGGGACTATGTACTTACATATTTAAAAGTTATAGACCATAACTAACAATCTGCTAAATAATATTTTTTTAATCTTTGACCTTGTCAAATATATTGTCATTAACAATCAAATTTATAAAGCTGTGGTTTTCCTATGACTAAAAGTTGGCAATATATCAAAGCCAACTGAATTTAATTATGATTGCTCATGTCAGTTCTACTGATGGGCTGGGAGGTGTTTGGATCAGTGATGACACAAAGATGCACATGATTCATAAACATTATGTGTTGATTCTCCAACACTTACTTTTTCTTATCTTTGTTTCAGCAAGATCACTTATTCTGTTATATTCATGATTTTCACATAATTTGTGGTTTGTGGATGGTGATACTATTTTAACATTTCGAATGTATTTTCATCACATTAGCATTCATAATGCTAAAAATTCAAAAATTAAAATTATTTCTCCAACTTCCTGTAAGTTTTCTCCCTAAAATTCAAAATTATTAAAAGCAAAAGGCAAACATACAAATTATATTTAAAGTACCCAGAGGTTTTTACATATCAAAATAATGATTGAAGTTATTATCAAATTTAAAAAACAAATTGTTTGCAACATTGGAGATTCTTTTGTTCAACGTCTAGTTACTTCTTAGTGTTATATAAAAGTAAAACGATTTGCACTTCTAGTGTTCTCTGTCCATCCGGTTGTTAATGTTGAGAATCACTTATCACTGAGCCTGTATCAGGGTCCTTATATTCCTACAAACACACTTTTGTATATTTAAGGGTAATATGACTTGTTTAGTATTATAAAATATTCCTCGGCTGTCATGTGTAACAGTTGGAAAGCCCATGCTAATTTGTGAGTAACTTTGGAGCCACCGGTTAGAACACAAAGAGAAGATACTTCGTTATGCAAGAATGTATGGCAGTTATGCAGTTTGAGAGGAAGTTTTTGACAAGCTAATGGATTTATCTAAAGCTTCTTCCTCTCAAGTTCTCCCAGCACTTTGAAGCAAGGTCTGTTCATGTTGGCTGATCGTGTTGGAACACAGTTGCCTTTGAGGGAGTAAGGCAGGAGAGTGGAGAGGCGCTTCCCCAGGGCTTGGGTGGAGTTGGGAGGGAGGGTGTCTGGGGTTGGGGCAGGGACTCCAGCTGGGGTCTCCAGCCCACAGCCTGAGGCTGCTTCTGATAGGGGCTCATAACACCAATTACTTTTCTAATGAGCATAGTGAATGTTGGAAATGGGGTTCTATTACTGAAATCACCGCTTGTTGATTAGCTTGATGAATGCTAGGAAGGGCATCCTGAAAGAATTGTAGACACTCCGTGTTCTGCTTGGAGCATCTCAGAGGCTCCCTGACTTGCAGGAACAGGATGTGAGAGTGCGATGAGACCTCTAGCCTGTATCCATGGGAATGGCTCCCAGGGCTTTATTCCTCACGGTCCTGTGCTCAGCTGAGGGTCTGGAAGACTTCTGGTTGCTGCTTGATGCCAGCGACCAGGTGGCAGGTTGTGAAATGCTTATTCATCTGAAAGAACAGAGAGCAGGGACCCTTGGGCATACAGAAAAATTTCTAGAAAATGGGTTGTGCTTGCTTGCTAATAAAAGTTTCTGAAATGTCAGTATGGGTAGTAGAATTTGATCTGTGACTGGCCTTCCCTATAATTTGGTAGTGAGGTTATAGGAGCACTGCTAACCCTCACACAATTCAAAACCTGCATTCTGCTTGACCTTATCTGTTTTGGTCAGTTTAAAAAAAATTATTTTATTTTTTAAAGATTTTGTTTTTTTACTCATGAGAGCACATGGAGAGAGGCAGAGACATAGGAAGAAGGAGAAGCAGCTCCCCCACCCCCAAGGGAGCCCGATGCATGACTTGATCCCAGGACCCTGGGATCATGACCTGAGCCGGAGGCAGGTGCTCAATCACTGAGCCACCCAGGTGTCCCTGTTTTGGTCAGTTTTACATGCTCAACTAGGGTGGGTCACTCTAGACTTTTCCTTTTTAATATTAGACATTGTGAATGAGATGTGTATGTGTTCCTTATGGCAGATTTTATATATGATGACTAATGACCATCTTTTACAACTGCTTTGGGGTTTAAAAGAGTAACATTTGATTTATTAGAGTTTTAAAGAAAAAACTTCGGAGGGGGTTCCTGGCTGGCTCAGTCGGTAGAGCATGTGATTCTTGATCTCGGGGTCATGAGTTCAAGCCCTGAGTGTGAAGCCTATTTAAAATTAAAAAAAAAATCTTACATATCTTACTCTTTTAGTTAAAACTCCAGCAGATTTTTACACCCACGAGAGGCTTTTTGTAAATTAGTTAATTATATTCCTCAGACACTTTTAGCTGTATTTACAAATTTAATATGTTCAATTTTCTTTTTAAGCACATCAATGATCTGAGTAACAAACAAAACCTTCCCAAGCATTTAAATAGTTTTTCTAACTTGAATAAATTAAACTTATAAATAGGGGGAAACTTAAGTTGTCTCAAATAGGACTATCTATCTACAAATAGGAATATTTAATTTAACACATTCTACAATAAGTCTTTGTTGCACACTTACTATGAGTCCCTTGGGCTGGGTGCTTGAGACTCATCTGTGAACAAAACAAAGTTCCTGCTCCCCTGAAGTTTACATTCTAGTTGGATAAAAAGGCAATGAGTAATGAGTAAATACATTAAGGAGGACATTAGAAGGGAGTTAAGTGTTTTGGGAAGAAGAAAGTAGGGTTGGGGGGATCAGCATTGGGGTGGAGAGGGAGAAATAAATTGTAATAAATTGAGTGGTGAAGTTTCCCCGAGAAGGAGGAATTTAAGCAAAGGCTTAAAGGCGTAAGCAACCAGCCAGAAACCGTGAGTTGAAATCAATTATTCAGTTATGCATCTTAAATCAAAATTGCAAGGCCCACCTACCAAATACTTTATTTGCCAGATTCTTTCAATACCACAAAAACTTCATGTGTACTCATAATATTCCTAAGTTTAACATAAGAGTATTAATACCATGGGTTTGGTTTACTTTATTAGTTCTAAACATTCTCAATGTTAAAAGATACTTTCCCACTAAGAGAAAATGGATTTTCCCAAGCAAGCTGGGAGTCCTGTCTCAGTACACTGGTGTTGCCTTCCAACCAGACAGATGTTTGGCCAAGCCAAAAAGCTTGATTCTTGCCCATGACATTTATGGGGCTCAGTGAACCATTTTTATCATTATTATAACCAGGATTCCATAACTAACTTGTTTTCTTTTTTTTTAATAACATAATCTTAAAAAATTTAATTTAAATTCAGTTAATTAACATATAATGTGTTATTGCTTTCAGAGGTGGAAGTCAATGATTCATCAGTTTTATATAACACCCAGTGCTCATTACACCACATGCCTTCCTTAATGTTTGTCACCCAGTTATCCCATCCTCCACCACGCCTCCCCTTCAGTGACCCTCAGTTTGTTTCCTATGATTTAGAGTGTCTTATAGTTTGTCTCCCTCTCTGATTTCATCTTGTTTTATTTAAGGTGTTGTTTTCACAGATGGATTCTAATTAATGGAAGTATTCATTGCCCAATTTTTCTGTCTGATTTTAATCTACAATGCTCATCCCAGCTTGAGGGTAATTTCTTCAATGCTTGGTGGGATATTGCATTTCTCTGGCTCTCCTAAAGCATCTAATGTCTTCCCATCTGACTGTGGTCATTTTAAAACATGGCTGCATATCCTTTGACCTACCTTCCATCAACAATCAAGATCTATGTACCCTCTACTTGGATCTGAGCAGGCTTAGGGACCATTTCAACCCAAAAGAGTACCACAGAAGTGGTGACTTCCAAGGCTAAATAATAGAAGACATGCAGATTCCGCTTTGTTCACTCAAACACTTGCTCTTGGAGATCCAATCCACCATGTAAAGAGGTCTGATTACAATGGAGTCACCGTGTTGCACGAAACCCCAAGGTACATGGAGAGACCATGGTACATGGGAGCTGGTCCCAGCTGGGCCTTAAATCATTCCAGCCAAGGGGCTAAACGTTTACATGAAGAAGCTTCCAAAAAATTCCAGCCTGTCCCCATTGGAGTCTTTCTTTCTTTCATTCCTTTTTCTTTTTTTTAAAGATTTTATTTATTTGAGAGAGGGAGAACAAGTAGGAAGGAGGGGGCAGAGGGAGAGGAGAGGGAGAAGTAGACTCCTCACTGAGCTGAGAGCCTGACATAGGGTTTGATCCCTGGACCCTGGGATCATGACCTGAGCAGAAGGCAACTGCTTAACCAACTGAGCCATCCAGGTGCTCCCATTGGAGTCTTTCGGACAGAGGCTCCAGAAATTGTGGAACAGAGACACACCATCATTTTGGTTTACTGCCTGCATTCCTGACTTTCAAAACCCTTAAGTATGGTAAAC